AAACTTGATCTTCCATGCCTCTTTTTGATTCAAAATCAAAACCCTAATTATACCCAAAACCTAAAATTACAGTAATTATAATCCCGAATTAAATTACAAATAATTTAATTTGAACAAATTTAATGCGATCCATGGAACCATATAATTAACGACCAAATTCATCATCCATACATTCATCATTATGAATCAAATATAAACATCCATAAATACAAGCGCCTACCCATCACATAAATAATCATGAAATTTTCATTGATATTCATAAAATATTCATAAATATATGCACATAAAATAATGAATGAACTCTTTTATTAAATAAATAATAAATATCTTATTACATCTCATGCTTCTAGGACACTATTCCCAACATTGTCTACTTCATATGAGATGTTTGTTATATGATTTTTATCTACCTTACATTCTGATAATTTTTTCCTACTCACCGACAAATGTAAAAGAGGTTGCATATATTCATTCATTCAGTTACACGTTTTCTTTTCAGTTGGTTTTTTTTATCCTTGTGAGCCTTTATACTTTGGTCTCTGTGGATGGAACAAAATGGTATAATTTTTTAGGAAAAGGCAATGGGGCCAATTGATATTTTTGAGAAGGCAAAGTTCTATGCCAAAAACAATTCCACAACTCGAAGACTACAACTGTCCTTAAGTAATTGTCACTAATGCTTCTTTTAGTTGTAATTATATTGTGAATGAAGAAATAAAAAAAAAATTAATTATAATAAATTTATTGTTAAAAAATTCAAAATCAAAACATTATGTGTTTTTAAAGTTAAACAAGTATTTTTAAATACAAAAAATAATTATATATATTTAAATTTCATATCATGTCTATTTTGATCATTTTATATACCCACAGCAATTCCACCTTAAAATTTATCAAACGTTATTTACTAATTTTGGAACCAGCACAGCTACTATAATTACAATTTATCAAACACTCAACTGCTTTTTAGAACAATAATTTTTTCTTTTAGCACAACTAAAAATATTTTTTTTAAAATTCATAGCATTACCAAACTAAGCCTATATCTTTTTGTTCGTGTCGTGTCAGCGTACCAAGTTACCAATATAAGTGGAATTGGTATATCCTCGGTACTTTTTAAAGTGCTTTTTCTAAAGTATGCGGCTTTGATTTTTAGTTTGTTGAAACATAAAAGACATAAGGACCCTTATCATTAAAAGCTGCATTGACAAACATAAGTCTGTGATTGGTACTCTCTCTCTAAGACCAATACAAAATTTTTGGACGTAAAATTGTACATTTTTGGATAAAATGAAAGAACATGAGTTATACTGTGAAGTAAACGACAGCCCTTCGATGAAGACCCAACTGTTGTCGTTTATTTATTTATTATGTTTTGAGAAAAAATGTAACACTTGGTAGAAATTATTCAGATTCAGTGGACCGGGTATATTGTTTAATACAAATTCGACATTTGATTAGTTTGCCTATGTCCACTTTAAAGTGATTAAAGCTTTCTTTCCTAGTGTATCTTACATTAATATGTAATCAAAATCACTGTAAATAGTTTTATTTAGATCTGTAATATTAATTAATCTTAACTAATATTATTCTCAAATCTCAATTTTTTATAAAGTTATTTTCTATATAAATATAGGGAACTCAAAAGACGTCATTAAAAAAAAAAAGACGTGCCTAAACCCATTGAAAAACTTGATGGTATATATAATAAATCTAACAAATAAATAACAATCATATTTCTGCGTGGAATCACTGTTTACGTGTCCATCATCACACTCCTTTCTTGCATTCTAAATATAATACAAACAAGTAAAATAAATGCATTAGGCAAAGATGTCCAAGGACGAAACAGAAGTAAACCAAATTAATTGGCACAAAATAAAATTTAATAGGAACTTAAAACACAATTAGTGATAACACTTGGGGGCCCAAAAGAAGTGTGTAAATTTTTTAAGCACCGCAGCAAAACCATTTCTTCTGCATTGAAAATTTTGGAGAAACAAATTAACGATTTAAGTTTTAGATGCAGTAAACCAAACGACAAACATAGGAAAGGATGTCATGTATGTACCTTGGAGGACTCAGCTTTCTTCTCAGCAATAATGTCGTTTTTTCGCGGAGTCACAATCTTCACCGCTGCCGTGGTATTCGTCTTCTTCTCATCTCTGGCCTTGTTGAATATCACTGTGAAGCCTTCAGCTGAGGCAGGGTTGTTTACATCCCACTCTCCAAATTTAGGCAATGGACGACCTTTGTCCTGCTAAAAAAAAAAAAAAAAAAAAAAAAACGCAAAAGACACATCCTTTATATTTCATAAGAAGCACTTGTCAGTTCTCTATTAATCGGAACCTTTTTAGCATGTTTTAATTATTTATGATGAATTAACTTCGAGTTGGTTGCTGATATAGTAGATGAATTTGTATTCTACTCAATCTTGATAACATTAATTCAACCTAAAATAAGTGAAATACAAATATTAATTTGAAAATTCAAGTGAAACATTCGTAATTAAAACCATGATAACATGATCGGAACAATACTTGGTGGTGTTAGAGATGTTAGACAAAAGGACACAGCCTAATATGGACTACATGTGTGAGATCCATACTCTTGTGATCTTGTGGTGCTCGACATCAGTGGCGTGAACGACATCAGTGACGTGAAATAATACGTAATATATTTTTTGAGATGTATAAAAGTGTACATCATGTAGGGGCACGGCTTGGATATGTAATAGCTAATTCAATTTTGAAGTATATTTTATACATCAATATATAAACTTAGAAACCTATACAATTAATATGTTAAGAATATTTATACAAGAAATGGAATGTCATATTGAGGTTCCCTGAAGAAATTACTTAAATCAGCTTATACAAACGAAATACACGTAACTGTACCTCGACCAAATTCATGTTTATTATTAATAGACATTAGGATCTCTTTTTCATTTCATTTTTCATATGAGCCCGTAAATGTTGTGATAAACAAACGCTGGAATGGAAAAGATCAGTACTCCAAAACCAACCCTTCAATGAAGCCTAAATTAAAATCATCATCTCTTTCACGTTGTGATGCTTAAAACTCATTAAAAAAGAACATAAGAAAACAGCAGAATCACAATAAGGTGAAATATTTATCCTCCGAAGTCAAAATCTTTTTTTCTTTCATTACAAAATCGATGATATAATATTATATGTCGCTCTTCAAGAACAAGGAAATGTTCATGCAAGAACAAACGCTATTGTTTAAACATGTATACGTATATACACAATAATATATACGTATGCTTGTGATTGAATCCATTACAAATTTCAAAGGGAAAACAAAAGGAAAAACTATCTTACCGAAGCCATGATGGAGGTCCGCAGGAGCTTGCAACCGCGGGTTTGTTTGGAGAAAGAAAACGTGGGGACACACTGATTTTACGAGAGAGAAAATTTTGAAGAGACAAGCTAGAGAGAGAGAGAGAGAGAGAGAGAGAGAGAGAGAGAGAGAGAGAGGGAGAGAGAGATTAATTAGTGCGATTTGTAAGGGAATATATGCCTAGGGCGGAGGCTTTCTTGTTGATGTAGTGAATTATTGTTGAGATTGCATGCAATAATATGTAGCGATGCACGTACCTTTTTGTTGTTTTTCCTCAAATAGCTACGTAAATACACGTCGCTCAGCCAAATCAACTGCCTTTTGTTTTCCTCGATTTACCGTCTTCCATCTAATAATATAATTATATAATGGATTTTGGGGTAAATTGCCCCCTCTTTTAGAGTTTTTTTTTTTTTTTTTAGTAAATGACTAAAGTTTAATAAAATTAAAAAATGACTGATTTTTTTATTAACTTGAATTTCACTGATTAATTTTAATTTACCATCGATTAATTTCAGTACATATCACTGATTAATCATGATCTACTATTTAATAACTATAATTTATTACTGACTAATCATGATTTATCGCTAATTAATCATGATTTATCACTAATTAACTACTACAGAAAAACGACCATTTTCTAAAAAACAAAAAGTACAACTATTTGGCTAAAATTTAAAAATTTTGGGTATTTATTAAAAGAGATGGCTAAAAAAGATCATTTATCTAATTTTTTCAAAACCTTATCATATATATATATATATATATATATATGTATGTATGTATATATACCCGACAGCATTATGCAATATGAAATCGTTGGAGTTCTATCAAGTTTTATAATCTATATACCATTCAATTCTTATTATCTCTCTAAACCCTACCTACATGCTACAACACGAAATTCAATGATTTTTTCTGTGTCCTTTTTTTTTTTTTTTGCGTGTGTACTGAAGACAATGGTTTTTTTGTGCTTAGGAACAACGAAAATGTTACATGCCAATAGAAAGCTTTTATTATAGTTCATAAAAGTTTCTGATAGTCAATTTATTTGCCTGAGTATATACTTGAACAATTAATTGAAGAAAAATAAGAAAGCTGTGAAAATCCTAAACAAAATGAACCAACGGGCAACGAAACTCCTGGATGGCTAGATCACTAAGGCCCTCCAAGACATCTGCACATTTGACCTTAAAGTTTCGAGCTTACTCCTGTAACTTGTTAAATTATTACAATGTGTCTCGTATTGTTAATGATTAATTAACATTGCTTTGTATACATATGTGTAAATTCTTATTAGTCCTGTTGAAATATAGAAAAATAAATAAATATTCTACAAATAGCAACATTGATTCAACGTAATTTTGTAGCGTAAAATGGAATATCATTATAATAATGTCTGTGTTATTCCTAGAATATTTCAAAAGAACTTTACATTTCAACTCTATCCTCCTAAATTTACAATGTGGTATAGTTAACACAAATTTATTAATTTCCCAACTCCCAATCTCTCAAAATCAGACCAAATTCGGAGCAAAATTGATAAAGTGGAGAACATTGCAATAGTTTAGAAGAGTTAAAAGGGTAAATTGCCAAAATCCAAAATTCACGGGAAAAGCTTTCGAAATCCAAAAAATTATTGCCAGAAGTAGCAAAGAATTTTCAGAAAAGTGACACAAAATCCTGATCTCAGTGTCATAAGATGCCCCACTCCATCTTAGACATTAAAATAAAATAAGGTCTTTTGCTCCACACGTACTGCGTGCAACCAATTATTGAGATGTACCTTGCAGACCGTTTTCCTGGAATTGAATAGAAATTTTCAATGGCCAAAATCATTTTAATCACCATACACCTCTAGGTGATAAATGCTTTTATGTTGTCTACATTTCTTATGCTAATGCATTTTTACTACCCTGGACCCTAATAGTGAGAAAGAAAAGGGGAATTTTACATTTTTATAACTTGTATGTATTTTGAGCCTGCCTAAAAGTAATACCTCATTTATTTAACTGTTGTAAATTTCCAACCTATCCTCAGTCAAACCGTTAATTTTAACCATAAAAAGGCCAAAATGTCCACACACAAAAAAAGGCAAATAACTTCAACGAGGTTGTGTTCTGTAGCTGATTCTCGTTCTCTTTCTTTTTCCCCTTTCGATTGATGTTTTCAGTAATCGTAGATATTAACTATATTGTTTAGCAACTCTAGAAAAACGTCATGTCGTCGAGAAAAACAACGCAAAAAGGCTCACACTAAAGACTCACTCACTTTGGTATTAAGAATACTCGCTACTAGATAAAGATCAGTGAAACAAAAATATCAAAATATTGGCACAGTATTAAGGTCCAATATTTACAAGGAGGGAACCGAGGTAGTCTGGGAAAAAACATACATTTCTCTACAAAAATGCTACAACATTTTTACGATCAAATATACAGCTGCCACAATGTCGGATCCTCAGGACCGAGTAACAAAAGAATGACCTTGAAGATAGAAACACTGACAAGAAAATATACAATAAAAGAGAGACCTAGAACCCGAATACTTCCCCAGAAACTACCCGGATCACTTAGACATCGACATTTGCTTTGTTTCCAGCAAGGATGATGGAGATTTCCAACCCGCGGCTGAATGCTTGGTTGAACAGAAGTCGGGACTGGAAGGTGGAGATGAATGGGAACCATGATAAGACTGCTATAGGAGCAAAAATGATCATACCCATCCCAGCATCATACATTCTGGAGAATTCGCGGACCGAGTCCCACAAACCAAGACTCCTGACCACCTTCTTCCAAGTGATAGCCAGCTGATTTTCACCGCAACCAAAAAAGATCAAGATGGCACAAAAGATATCAAACTAGAGAGAAAATTCAAGTTCAACAAGCTGACTTGAGAGGATGCTAAAAAACAGTACACTTACACAAATAATAGCCCAGCCAGTAGGAATAAATGCAAGGATGCTAGCAAATAAGTCAGCTATTGAGAGATCAGTGAATATAACAACAAGGGTTATGGCTGCAACAAGTGACAAGGATGTGACGCCCTGCATGAATCGCATCACAAGCTGGAAGCTCGATGACTTTTTAGGGCTGTAAGTAAAGATCTACGGCGTAATAGACACAAATGATTAGGTCAGTTTTGACAACAGAAACAAAGCATGCTCAGGGAAAAGAGAAATTAAGAATGACACGTACCTTGAAAACCATGACAATGGCAACCAACACAATCCAGGAAAATCCATAAACCTAGACAAGAAAGGAATTTGTAAACATCAAGAAAAACAAAGATCCACAGATAGAAACACAATAATTTTCAATCTCAAAAAATGATGCAGAGTATTTAAATTTTGCTGAGGGAGTACCGCAAGTGATGTATCCTCTGCAGTGAGGTGGAGCTTGTACACAATCCCATATTGAAACATGAGGAATCTCAAGCTCAAAATGGTTTCCAGTAGACGGCCTCTCAGTGTTTGGATATGCAGCTACAACAAGAAGAAATAACTTACCAGTTACCAAACATGATTGAAATAAAACAACAGAAAACAGCAATGAAAAGAAAGACTTGACGAGGGCAAAGCATAATGAGACGAAGTTTTCTAGCAAAATCATTTCTCAGTCACAGACCTGCTCTTCATCCCACCAAGACTCCCAGCTATCATCTCCCTTCACTCCGACACCACCTTTATAGAGAAGCCAACTGGTCCAATCATCAAAATCCTCCACCGTTCTGTTTAACCAAGAGTTTATATCATGCAACGCGAGTTAAGATAACAGCAAAAACGTTATGCAATAGGAAGGCGGGAAAAAAAATGCAGAACTAACCAAAAATAGTCAACTACTTACTTTTGCCACTCAAAACCAGAAGGATTGAAGATATAAGGCGCAAAGAGCCAGGAAATGACCATAAACCAACTACTAAGAGTAAGCAAAACAAAGGAAGTAGCCCCTCTGCCAGTGTACCCATATGCAATGTAAACAATGAGAAGCAGAGCCACTTCAAGCCTGTAAGGAAACAGTTTGCAAAGTTTTACTTTTCATTTAAGTAACTTATTTATCTTCTAAATGTGGACAAGTTTAATTTCCTGCTTCCAAATCTAAAGAAACTTTTGGTAATTAGTACTTACGCCTTGACAAAATGACTTCTTGAGTAGAGCCGGTAGTTCTCAGCAAACTTGATGTGGCGGACAACAAAGCCCCTACCAGTTGCTCGGTACTGTTAAAAAAATATAAAACGGGAGTATGACACTTTAGTTTCCAAAAAATAAAAAATAAAAAATAAAAAAATAAAATAAAAAACCCTTCAAAACCAGAATATCAAAGTTTAGATGATATAAGTACGTACTTTTGCACCTCCATGGAGAATGGTACGTCCAAAATAGTGAGTTCTGGTTCCTAATGAGAAAGTGAAGAACACAGAACATAATTGCAGCTGCATTGTAATAAAGCTGAAAACTGCCTGTAAATGTTTAAGCAAGAAGTTGAGCAATTACATCAAAAAAAATTATTCTGGAAGATGATACATCTTTGGAGATACAGAAGTAAATAGTCCTAATAACACAATAATCATCATAGATAATACAGCTAGAGGAAGAAAACCATTTGCAGAAGTTTTTTCCCCTCGAGAGAAATACTTCCACTAACACAGCATTTCCTATATCTAAAATATCTTGTGGGAAAGAAGTTTTTTTTTTTTCCTCCCAGCAACAGGAAACAAAACTTTACTGAGATTAAAACCAGTACATAGAAGAGAACAAGGAGTCCTCGGAATAACAGAAGAAAGAGATAACAAACAGACACTCAAGACATAATAAACATGTGGTCCCATATCGTCTTTCTAATCCAATATATACAAAATTAAAATGGACTAACCTTCAGCAATCCCAGTTCCAGTATGAACCCAACAATCATTGGGACTGCCGTAAACACTCCAATCTGAACCAAGAACTGTGCATTTAAAGCAGCATCCAGTGCTGTGTTACCATATCTTTTCGCTTGCTTTACGATTTGTTCATCAACTCCAGAGAAAGCCTGAAAGCATCGGCAAAGCTCATGAGGTATTACCCTGGTAGATTACCTGATTTAGACCTCATGTTTGACTGCGACGATCGACCGGTGGTTAGAGCGAAGGATTTTCGGGGACCCAACACCCGTTCCCCACTGGTCTTTCGGTATTGTTCCGATCAATGGAGCTTGGACATGTGTTTCCGGATTGGTCTTTCTGGGGCTGGTAAGCTTGTGTATTAATTTTGTCCGTAACTCTCTTTTTTGCCTTGTTGGAGGTGATTGTGTGTCTAAATTTTTCTTTATTTTTTTATTTTAGCTTGTGTTATGTTTGTGTGACTCATGGGGGTATGATAGGAACTTGATAGTTGGTTAGTGAAGTTACTAGTTTGTTAGAAAGGATGTTATTAGTTAGTTACTGTGGACTTTAGTTGGGGAGGGAATTAGTTAGAGAAGGCAGGGGATATTAAAAGGGGGGTTTGGGAACTGAGGGAGAGCAGGAAAAATACTGGAGCCTTGTAGGGAGTCTTGGCTTAGGCTGAGCAAGGGGAGGTTTGGCAGTACCTCGAATCACTGCATTGTAATTCATTCTTTCATTCAATAAAGATTCATCTTTCTCTTCTCAATTCTTCTCATTTCTTGAGAATTGTCTTAGATCTAATCAGGGTACCATACAATTTGATTTATACAAGGAAAATTAGGCCTAGATTTTGATTCATATCCCATTTATAAGAGAAACTATGAAAGAGATGCCTTCCCATTATTAAAATAAGAAAACTAGACTCAAAGCCATCAAGTCGCCTTAGAATCTGAAACGTCTCCAGACTCAGGTAAAAACAGAAGCTTTGAACATTCGCTTGTTTGACCATTACATCCACATCATTATAAATTCATACGTTTATTTATTTATTTGGCGTTCTTGCTGTTATTGTATGTTCCTATTACTATTATTCTGACAAATAACAAGACTTATATTAAATAAAAGCAAGTACAAAGAAGAATAAGACTAGAGAGAGAGAGAGAGAGAAGAAATAAAAGTTACCAGGTAAACCCTTCCATACAAGAATATGTACACCGTGATGACTGTCATCTGCACAAGTATAAATTGCCATCAGAAAACTCCAGAAACTTCAAAGCAGAACTGAATCAGTTATAATGACTATTAGAAGTCGAGACCAGTCGAGGGAACGTACCATAGTGCAAACATAGTAACCAACAGTCGTGAAGAAGAAAGAAAGCATCCTAAAGAAATCAAAAAGTTGTCCAAGTCTGTAGACATCCCTACTTAGAACTTGCTCCCCGTTTCCTCCAGCAACTTTTCCTTCAAACAGAGCAATCTGGTTCAAGCCAACATCCCTTCCTTTTCCAACCTGAACGGAACAGTAACAGACTCAGAAAACCACAAACTGGAATCTATGGAACATAGAAAGTGGGGAAATAAAAAACAAAAAAACAAAAAAACAAAACAAAACCTAGCATATCAAACCTGAATATATTCGTGGTGTGTAATATTGCCCTGCCGCAAAGTTGAGTTGAACCCTGTAGCATTTTGTTTACATCAAGATAAATTGGATGCTAATAGTGGAATCAATCATTCTATTCCACGAAGAATATTTAACAGCAATAACAGATAAATGAGATGCAGAAATAAGAAGCAAGTACTCACTATTCCATACTCACCTGCAAAGATATCTTCACTAATATTAATAACACGCGATGCCTTGCTAATGCCACCTCGAGTTATGTGAAATATGCGGTCAAAAACATCTGGATGCCCATAGTGCATGCGAGTTCTGCGAGAACATATACATATATATATATATGTATTTTTTTTTTCAAAAACAAAGTCCAATTCTAGATATTTTATGTATGCAGGATGAGATTTTGCACATACTTCCCTTCAACCAAAAAAGAAAAGAAAAAAAGCATCTACTTTTTTTCAGTAGTTAGCTGTCACAAGTGATAATCTTAACTATGAGGCTCCACATCACCAAAAAACCTTAAAAAGGGAGAATATGGAAATAAATCCGCATGTCGTTAATGAATAGCCCAACACCTCAAAAAAAAAAAAAAAATACAGAAATGTTTTACACCAATAGTTAAAAATTGTTGAAAAGAAAATTTGTTAACACTAATATTAGCAATACGGAATATTGAGATCCACATAGTACAAAAATATGAAAAGCACTTTCCAGAAAATAATTTCAACTAAACAAATGCAGTATTTAGTTTCACGAGTAACTTATAAAGTAAAACACTAAAAATTAAACACTTTAGCAAGACAGAGCAATAAGAAGACGACAAATTCAGAAAAAACAAAGACTACAGACACATATGAATACGCAGTTTTAAAAAGCAAGATTAGCACAATTCCAGCAGAATGATGTTAAAACTGATCTTCTAAACAATTCCTTTCCCTTGCAATCAAGAAGCATAAATTTGATTAATTAAAGCATTACACCAGTTATCCAATAGACATCCTCAGAGATGTGAGAGAGAAAAAACCACAAAACATAAAAGATAATGACCAATACGTCCTTTCCACAAAAAAAGTTGTGTACTACTCACTTGAGAGGATATGCTAAGACACGTTGGCCCAAGGTCACAAAGCTGGTTTCTTGATTTGACATAAACCATGCTAACGATGAGACACTGTAAGAACACATAACAATGGCTAAGAGAGGTTATCAGGGGGAAAAACACTCAATAACATTTATGTTTAAAAGAAATCCAACCTTCCCGTAAAGACATGCTCTCTAACACCAAGAATACTTGGACGCCGAAGGCCGTGACTTGTATGAAATTCCTCAAGAAGATTTCTCATTTTCATTGCCTCCTCAAGATAGTTATCCTATAAAACACCATCACGTCAGTCAATCATGTGTTAACTTCCTTCACTTTTGGGTAAGAAGAGGATCATAAATCCAAAACAACACAATGCTAATTGAAGACAAAACATCATAAATCAAGTTAAATCGGAAACATATTATTCATAACTGCTTGAAGAAAGACAGATTTCTGACCTGATTCATGTCAATAGTTTGAACAGCCTCCCCACGAGTGAAGATTATTGCGTGGTTTTGGTTTTCAGGCTTCCCCTCACCAAGCTTTGGATTACCAGGAAGTTTAATTGAAAATATTTCCTGCAGATAGATGAGAAGCAGATCAACATCGAGTGCCCTAATGAAAGCCTTTTCTATCCCTTTTATCGAATTCAAAATATCACTCATGTTACTAGTGAGATGGAGCATTCTCGTTAGAAATTGGAAACACTCATGAAACTAGCTAAATAAAAAGAACCATCCAGATTACTAACTTGACGGGTATTAATGAGCCTTAAACCTTTGCATAAAGGATACATGGATTATATTTAAAGAAACGATTTTTATGCATCTGTTGGAGGAAGAAGAAAACAAAGATATTATCTACTAAATTGCAAGAGCAAAAACATATCACATTAAACCTATAAAAATAATTTATCTAATGCAGCCTATAAAAAGAAATTTACAAAATAAGCGTATTGCCGGTGCACAATTAACTTGACTTGTTTTTATAATCAGCTCTGAGGCTCTATGGTGTGATTCACAATCAAACCCATCCAAGAGGAAAAGTTCATAAACAACCGGAAAACAGAAACTGAGCGATTATTTACCTGATCTTTTCCATGTATGTCAGCTTTCACAAGCTTTGAATAAAATTCTCTTGAAACCTTTTCATTAGTTGCACCACTCTCTTCCTCATGTATGAAAGCAACTCGAAGTGCCTCATTCCTAATAACCAAAAGAAAAAAGAAAACAGAAAATAAATAGCTACTAGCACAAAAATTTTAGTTGTAAGGAAATTGGAAACTGATTCCATTTATATAGTCCAAGAAAATATAAGAAAAAAGTTTAACAGATAAAGCAAGTTAATTAAGTGAGACTTAAGCAAATGCCAGCATATTATATGTTGGATCACTGCACAAAGCCCAGTTTGAAGCAAGTTCTGAAACTATTATCAAAACGATTATCATGGAATTCCAAATGTGCAATTGGAATATAAACTGGGTCATGCAAATTCTGGACCTCTAACCTTCTTTTTCTTCCACATTATACTTCATCTTGTTTTCTTTCTTTTACCCCCAAGGGTCAAACATACATTTAGGTTTTCTAGTCTCTCCTAAATTTCAATGGGCCTTAAATGCAAAATACTTTAACTGAAGCCTCGGGAAAAAAATGTTTTCAGAAAAGCAGAATTGATAACAGATTACAATGGGGCTTGACCGGAAAAAAACTTACAAACAAGAAAAAAAGAGAAGTTTCAAGATTAAGAGAAAGCACAAAGCGGAGTCTGGAGAGTAGTGAGCAGGAAAGAGAGAACAAAACCAGGTGCCGTAGAAAACATGGCGCAATGTCACACAAATTTGCAGTTCAGGACCGTAATCCAATAAATTGCAAATTGGCGGACACAGCCTGGCATTGTAGTCTGAAGCAGCGTACAATAATAGCTAAATCATTTATACTGAATAGAGAGCAAGGAAATTGGTAAGTGGTAACCATGAGAAAATGGCCTCTAGTTTCCATCAATTCGTATGGATCATTGTGCCTATATTTTTCTCTCTCTTCTCACATTGAATGTTTATTTTATATGCCCTTCTTTTAATTTCACTATGTGAACCAGTAATTAGAATATATGAATCTATTATAGTCATTCTTTCGCTTCAAATTTTGAAGATCAATACCTCTGCAACAAAAGAGATATATCAGCAGCCTCTGGCACCTTTCTCTGCTTCTGTTGCCCATAAATTTGGCACGACACCACATACGTGAACTTTATATCTGCTTGTGCCCGTGATTCACGTGATAACTCGAAACCTTGACTAGTAGGGATGCTGGACTGAGAATATCCATCCACTATTGGAACAGGAAAAAGATGTGATAAAAATAAATAAATAAATAAAATGTCCATGACCACATGATAGACGATGAAGTATTCAGAAGTCCTTAAAATACCTCCCAGCGATCTCCTTTCCAAATAGCTTTGTAACATTAAAGCCCTTCTATAGTACATCATACCGCGCACTGCAATTATAAGTCATAAATTTCAGAGAAAAATATCCAATGAATCGTTACTATTTTCATATATAGAACTGAGACATTTCAGGAGAGAGAGAGAGAGAGAAGTAAAGTACAGATATAAAGGACACGCTAATCTCAACCTCAAAAATTGAAAAACACCAATGGAACGAATTCAAAGATAGCATTGATAGGAAAAAAATCAAACCAGTCCTAGCTAGAGTTTGTCCCCGGTAGGATACCCAAAACCGAAGCTCCAAAGAATCACTTGAAATTTTCTGCAATTCTGCATCTGCCGTTGAATCTGGCCGACCAATCCGTTCCAAAAAGTTTTTCCATTCATCTAAAAGGAAACAAAAATCTTAAGGCCCTTTTTCCTGGATGAAGTAAATGATAATAAAGAAAAAAACAAAAACAAAAACAAACTGACAAACTCAGCCATTGGAAGGCTTGCAATAGCAGGAAGATTTTTATCGTCCGCTTAATATTATAAGGTGAATGGATCCTCCCACCGGGCCACCCCACCCAAACAAACGAAAAAAATAAAAATAGCTGAACTAGAAAGAAAAGATAAAACACATCTGAAAGCAGGTTATATGAAAGAGAATTAAAAAAAAAAAAAAAAGAAAAGAAAAGAGGAGAAGAAAGAAACAGTTACCAGTCAACTTTAGATTTTTTTCTCTCACAAAAAATACACGTAAATCGAAAATGGTTCTAATCTTATGATTCTAATCCATGAACCAAACGTCTCCTAATTTATTTATTTGACAAGAAACTCAAAATGCTTTAAATTGGCCATGTGATGGCTTGTCAAATTAAGTGAACTAGAACCTTGTACTTTCAGCTGGTTAAACAATCTTGGGTAACAGACAGGTATTGATTCCATGTGATAGCTTGTCAAATTAAGTGAACCAGAACCTTGTACTTTCAGCTGGTTAAACAATCTTGGGTAAAACAGACAGGTATTGATTTGGTTGAAAAGGTCAAATATTCAGCTTCTTTGTGGGCCTAGACTGATAAAGTCTTTATGGACTTCCCTTTTTCTCTGATTGCTCTGCATTGGAAGTTCTGATGGGGGGCCTAATTATTATGTGTGCTTGAGGGTCTTTGGTTAGCTTTTTGTTTCTTATATTTCGTTTTCTCCATTTTTATTTTGCTTTTTGAGAAACACTTGTCCTCTTTACTTCATAATTGATTTCTTCATCTCAATAAAACGAAGTTTTCTTACTAAAAAAAAAAAATTGCTTTAACTAAAGCGTGAGATGTATTTATTCAACCAAGTCAAGCTCAAACCAAATACCAGTTTAACTCTTAACCTGGAATTTTGCTAATCTGTAGCCCAATAAAAACAGTGTCATCTGTATCAGCTCTAGCATTTCTGTTGGCTACACGACTAGGCAATAGGCATACGAAACAAGTTCTTAAACACTGTGCGCAGAGAAAATAAAAATAAAAATAAATGGTTTTTGTTAACTTTTCATGATTTTTAACAAGAGGATTATATGCAAACCCTTGATGAACCAAATGAAGGGTATTTGCATGTCACCTTTCCTATGATGTCAATTACCATGTACAAAAATGGCCACGCAAAGATAAGATTGTGAAGTAAGACCAGAGGCACACGAATCAAGTTTGGATGAATCTGACACTTTTGGCACCTTTCAACATACTAATGGCAATCATTCAATCTTAATAAAAGAAGGGGCGGAAAAAGACAAACAAATTGGAATGACGCACAAATAAGAATTTTTCTTTTTCTTTTTTTTTTGACAAAGTGAATCATCAAGAAATTTAAAAGGAAAAACCCGTAAGAAAAACTTAAGATTGCAACACCTATCTACTAAGTTAACAGCAGAGTCAGAGCTCATAGGTTCAATTGAGCTCAACAAGACCTAGTTGTAGTACGATAAGTCAGAACATTTATGTAAGCTGCTACCGATTTGTTTCTTAAACCAATGCAAAAATGGATCAGCAGCTTGATCAAAGTGAGCAAAGCAAAACGAGAAGCACCTAAAGCATACAAAGAATTCAATCTTAATGCATGTGCATTCATTCACATTAAAATGCCATTCAAACAATAATAACATCAAGCTATGACAATCTACAGTAAATCAAATCTCCATCAAAGAGAAGAAAAGGCGCTACGAGGCAGCTGAGAAGCAAGAAAGAGTACCTGGAAAAATTTTCTGGAGATAGAAAAGAATTGATATTCCATCTTCATTTTCCTTTTGCAATTCAGAGGAACTATAAAGTACAGTCTCATTGTAGTATGGGGTGAAGACGCTATTCTCAAACAAAAAGCAACAGAAGGAAAAACAAAAACCTATTAATATTCTTTCAAAGAGCAAAAGATAAAGCCAGCTTCTACAACAAGGTAGTTCAGACGTACCTGAAAGGCATCATTTCACTAACTGGTTTGGCTGAAGGCATGTCCATAAACAATGAATTTGTGAAAAACTCTAATCTTCTTCTTGCTTCAAGGTTCTTCGGAATATTAGCCGCAGAGTCCTTTACGGTGAGCAGAAGATGCAACCGCTTCACTAGCTCTTTCTGTAATCACCCAGGAAAAGTGGAAGAAATCATAAATGCAAAAGACATAATAAAATAAGATATCCATCTTCTAAATTTAAACGGAAGATCTTACAATTTCTGGGTCTTTGGGCCATTCTATTCGAGAAAACAGCCGCCCTTCATTTCTTGCTCTTGCTAAAATGTTCCATGTATCCAGTTGCTCCCTGCAGCACATACAAGGAAACAGATGAAAACCTCGAGAATATAAAAAAGCTGCTAATCCAGCTTTCTTTGATCCTTTTAAATTGGGACAATATAGTGGCTCATTGATTGTACAAGGCATGTCTTGATTTCAATTTTATTTGTCTCTCTTTTTTGGCTGTTCTGAAGACATCTTGTCCTTGGTTTAGTCAGAATGTAAAAACTTATGATTTACCAATAAAGTTTTCGTCTTTTAAAAAGAACAAAAATAAAAAAAATTGAAAAAAAAAAAGAAAAAAGAAAAAGAAAGCTGCTAATCCAAAAGGTAACTCAAGAGTAACAAATCTTATACCTTAAATCAGATGACAGCAGATCATGCGTCACAACTTCATATAGATCAAACAAAGCTTTTGCAGCCCCTTTAGCAAGTTCAGGATCTTCATTTCGTAACTGCATATATCATTCATGTTCATTGATGTGACAAATATAACTAGATTATGTGACGTCACAACTATATGTCTATACCTCAATCCAATATTCCATATTTATAAACTAAACAATCTAAAAGGAACAGTTACAAGTGAAAATAAGATATGCAAATTGAGACACCAAGGAACTACCAAACTAATAAAAATTATAAGATACAAATATATCTATTGCATTATATTAGTATTATTTTTCCAGTTACACCTGTTGCTTCCTAAAAACAGTACCATTGGAAATGTAGATATCCATTTCGTAGTGGCTGCTGCTTTTTTTTTTTAAGAAAAAAGATAAATAAATATGCTTCTCTAAAGTTTACTTTACCAAAGACTAAAACAACAATCAACAACCCACATAAATAAACTTATGAAACATTCATACTAGATGACATGGTGCCATGTCTCGCTGACACTAGTACTAATAGGTAATGCACACTAACTAGCCAAACAGCCACACAGCAGTTATGACAGAGAACGATATACACCATCAAAATTCTTTCAACAAATAAACTGATGCACAAAAACTTTTCCATAAGTGGAAACTTTACAGAAATGAGGTACAAGATCAACACGTACCAGGAGACCAGTAAGAGCTGTAAATCTTGATAACACCAGAGGAAGCTTCTTAAGAGATAAGGTTATAACAAGCGAACCCTCCAAAATACTGTTGTTGATCTCACGATAGATTCTTTCAACCCTACCATTGAGAAATCGAAAATAAAAAAATTTAATAAACATCCCCAAAAAATCTTGAAAAGACTAAAAGAGGATCAGAAGAAATTTATACCAGAGTCTTCCTTCACCATCAATCAAAGAATATAAGAGCTTTTCAATACTATAGTAGCATTCCTGAACCGCATATGCCATGTATTCATCCCTACATATTCTATTCCAAAGATCTGCTTGTGTGTCTTTACAATCCAAGGCCAAATCAACAGCCAACAAGATCTAGAAAAGAACAAACCAACAACCAAAATCTGAGTACAGGACGTGTTTTTTCCACATAAAATCATCATTTTTTTTAAAGAAACAGAACTTCATTTTTTACAAACCGAATAATGAAGTACAATGCAAGGACAGGATGTTCCCAAATAAAAAACAAAAAGAAAAAAAACAAATGCCAATCCGTAACAAAGCATAAAATCATCGGGTTGAACTTGCACCTTACTGCTAAGAAGAAATAAAGGCCACTGTACTAATCTTAGACTTCCTGTGTTGCTAGGACAAGCAAGCAAATCCATCTCCCTGAAAGCACAAGAATCGTGAAGGATCTATACATTCTGACCATAAAACAGAATGAACTTCTAACACAAATTATTTCTAATGATAAAAAGCAATTGCCACAGGCTCACCTATTACTAATATAATCTTCTTCACGCAGACTTTTAATGATCTCGTTCCAAAATGGAGAAAACATGGCAGCATATGTCTTGTTCATATCCTGAGAATCCTGAATACACCAAAAAACATAGTTCAACCTCAAACTGTATTAAGAAATAAGAATCGTACAGCAAGAAAAGAACCTTGCTAGAAAGTAAACAACATGCAGAAAAAGATTATCAAGAGTTCAGTTAAGAATTAATGCAATGGCTCAGTAGAAAATTTGAATTAACAAAATACAACCAATTTAAAATCTCACCTGAGGTGCCTGCCTGTTAAAGGGCAGCCTGAAAGACCACATCAATAAATAAATAAATAAAGTCAGACAACACTTAAAAGGAAAAAAAAAATCTAAATTGAAGATATCTTTAAAAAATAAAATAAAAAAAAGAAAAAAAAAAAAACTAAATTTGAAGATACCTATTTGTTTGTGGAGAGACAAGATTCTTGACAAAAGCTTCTGGAAAACTCACAAAACGTTTGTGCACCATTTCAATTGAACGTATCTGAAATGGACCAACAAATAAAGCAATAAAACAATAACTATGATCAACTATAACTATGATCAACTGGCAATGTTTATAAATAAGTAAAAAAGAAGCATAACAAAATATTAAACATTAGAATGATTTTGTGTAAGCTATCCAACTAATCAAATTAAAAAGCCTAGGAAGTAACCAAAGCTATTTAAGAGCATTAATACCTCGCCTAATCGAGCACGTGCACCCATTACACCACCAACAATGGCTGACATAATAGTGTACCATATGTGGATATCCATGAGATAGATCTGAACCATAGGAAAATATTAGAAATGGTAACTTCCTTACTTTACTCAGTTTCAAAATAATAATAATAATAAATAATAAAAAACCATACTTTACACAACAATATATCAACTAGTTTATGAACCTTTTTGTACAATAACGGTACTCGGTCTTAATTTCCCTTATGGTACTCAAGGAGAAGCACCGAGGTGAGGAAAGCAAGTTACCAGGCACCATAGTCGATACAGAATGTGTTTAACAAGCATTTCATGAGTTCCATCCGTTCAAAAATGAAACATCATATATCAAATTTTAACAAACTTTAGGCTACAGCCTACAGTCTATAGTAATAGAGCTTCAAGTCAGCAAATAGCCAAATAGAAGTAACATACGCTACATGTGCATTGAAGAGTTAAAGCTGAAGCAAAAGGAGACACTTACAGCCACAACAGGAGCCCAAAGGCTAACGATGGTCAAGGCATTATTATTCTCTGCACAAACCACAACAATGCATCAGCAATCAGTAATATAAAAAAAAAAAACCACAACAATGAATCAGAAATATTAAGCGACTAATGAACGGTAGAGCTCATAAAAACCGAATAAAAACATGGCATAAGAGTCTTAGAATTTAACACAAATGATAGTTGATTGTATTATAAAAATAAAAAAAATTTAAAAAAAAAAGAAAGAAAAAGAAAAAGCTATTCCACATGAAGTACTACTTCTAGTTATAAGCCGTCCACAAACCAAGATGAACTGGTTTTTCTGCTATAGGAGAGAAGAGCCGGATTAAGCTAATGAGTAGAATTACAAGCTAACCTTGAAAGGAGTACTGTAAACTACGATAAAGTTCACTGTTTCAAGAATATTGCTACAAAGCCTTAAGCCATAGTAACAAGTAAATTCCTCCAGAAACAACATGACATCTACCCTAAAAGAAACATCTTGAAAAATCTTAGAAGTGACACCACAGAGAAGCCAAAACTTTCAATCTATCTCGAGAGAAGCTCAGCAATGTTTAGTTAAAAAGGAGTACCAGGATTTCTGAGGATCAGTCTGGGGGTTTGATTTGAACCAAAACAAAGTAAACACAAACAAGATCACACAAATAATGGCAGTTAACCTACTTTTTGAGATAAGATCATGCCATGAGTAGTCCAAACGCACAAGCTCCCGAATATCCTTGGTGGGATCAACGAGAGGTTTAATCTGCAATTAAAGTACAGAATAAAACGAGCTTCAAATTTTGTATTTAAACCAATTACCATATCTTAAATAACAACACAAAGTAAATAAACCTCTTTAACCCAGTGAAATAAAATAAAAAGACGAGATCGCTTACCTGGAGAAAGTAAGCAAAAGTGAACTTGCATATGAAGATCACCAGCCAATACAGTACATACCTACATCAATTGAGAAATGAGAACACATTGACAAAAACAAATGAAAATAAATCTCACAATAATGAATCTCTTTTACAGTTTAACTTAGGACTGAGAATTGCATTATAGTCTTTTCAATTGAAATCCAAGATAACTAAATGCAAACCATTAAAAGTCACTTCGGTGCTCATATACCTTTCCTATAAACCAGGGTAAAAATTAACTTATTACAAAAACTAAATATAAAATTCAAAAGGATTACAAATTTATAACTTTTTGACAAAAACCATATCTGCTAGCAAATAGAAGCATCACACATGCATGCATGACATACATACATAACGAATTTCAAATTTTAGAAGAATGAACAGACTTCATTTGAACTTGGATACCTCATAGTTCAAGTACTAAATTAGTAAATACAGGAACAGATGAAAAGGATCTCACTAAACAAATACTCCTAAGTAAAAGATAAAGTGATGTCTGGACCCCAATCAAAGTAAAAGTAACCTAGCTGATAAAACAGCTTTAGGTAAAACAGCTTTAGGTATAAAAATAGTCCAATGTTCTCCACAAAATTTAGCAAAATGGCCATAAACCAGATTTTCTATTCGGAAAATCTGAATTACATGATACAATCTAAAAAAATTAGTAAACAGATAAAAGAATAATTAATCAGGAAACCTGCACTACAAGATGATATATGTTCAACTGTCTTAGAGAGCAGAGAATATCAACATTAGAGCAAAATAGGTAGTCAATTTTGGAGAAATCAAAGGAAATTAGCAAAGCATAAAAACAATAAAACTCAATCAAATAGAAGAAAATAATGAGATGTTGATTGCTGGATTTGGAAGAGAGGGTCAGTGCTGTGGGAGATATTCCTGGAGTTAGGTTCAAGGTTGTGAAGGTCTCTGGGCAATCTCCACTTGCTCTATTCAAGGAGAAGGAGAAGCCTATGCCTTAAGTTCATTTCTATAGATAGGTCTACTGGGAAACGAATTGAGCTACCCAAATAATTTTGTTGGCTGCACAGGCCTTTCTTCCAAACAAATCTTTACCACAGAACACTAAGGTTCAAGACAACAATAGAAAAGTCGGCCTAAGAAACCAATCCCATTACGTTCTGTTTGCTGTAAGATACACATGCACATAAAGCAAACCTGCAATAATCACTCAGACTCTCATAGAGCCCACGTCCGACATAGTAACGCTCCTGAAATATTCCGAGGGAAAAAAATATACCATTAACAATCATTTCATCCATACCTGTAAAAGAATCATTTAGCTTATTTCTCTAAAATGATTGATCGAACGGGATTTACCTGATAAATCCACTTAAAGAATTGGAAGAACGATTGGTCAGACATTTCAGATAGCACATGACATGCTGGGAATTTAAGTAAGAGATCCAAGCCTAGGCGTAATGCAGCATAAATGCCCAGTACAAGTATATATATTCTGAAGTAGAATGAATTATCAGAGTTCCGGCCATTTCTTTCCTCCAGAACCTTTCTGCAATTATTTATGCAGTCATGATACAATGTAATACTTAGCATGAAGAAACTACTTCATGTCCTTGATACTAGAAACTAGTAAGAATTATCAAGAGAGTACTCACAAGTAAACATATGTCACAAACACAGAGCTCAAGCCAAACCAGAAAAACCTAATTACTAGCCTTGAAATAGCCATGCCTCTCGCGGTGGTGTAAGCCCCAAACATGAGCACCACATCCAAACAACCTAAGAAAACAGCACAAGATACAACAAACACAAGGTCAGATCTGAAATGTTGTTCCCTCTAAAAGCTTCAAAACAATGTAGGAAACCTGAATAACTTACTCTCAAGAAAGCTCATGATAGCAAAAGTTGGCCCAATGCTAAGTACACTTTTAAAAGTATCCAAATTTATTGTCCCGTCATTGAAGGCTATAATTGCTAAAGCCTTCATAAAAGAAAATAAAAAAATAAAAAATAAAAATAAAAAAAGAAGCAAGAAAAAAAAACAAAAAAAGTTAATATCTTAATCTTACAGTAAGAATAACAATTAAGTAGAGACACAACAAATAACCTGGAACATTAAAGCCAGAAATATCCACAAACGGTGAAAACTTCGGTACAAGTGAAGAAATGTCCGATGCTCAACAAAAGTGCTTTTACCAGTCTGCCAAGCCAGAAATACAAATCAGAAAAATAGAAAGAAATAGCTTCTATCAAGTCAAAAAAACGCAAGACCTGATCCAAGGACTAAAAGAAAGATCACCAGCATCCTCACTTGCATGAAAGAACAGATAACTACCAAGCAAACATTAGGAGGATGCGTATTGATATTATTGATAGCAAAGTGAGCATCAAACCCCTTTTCCACATGAAAGCATATCAGAATCTCAGAACTAATAATAAAACTTTTCTTAAGAAAATTAGGACACCATTCCTGAATCGAGAACTGAGATGTGAAAATAAGACTTCTTTAATTCTAAAAGAAGATCTCTTTATTTGAAGGATGTGATAGGGCGCTAGTTTTCATGTCCTCGTGTCCTTTTTTATTTAGTTTTCTTCATCCTTTATTTAGTTCTCTTTACGGTTTATTGAAGATACCTTATCTTATATCCTTTGGAATTTGCTTCAATGATCAACAAACGGAATTTTCTACTTCAAAAAATCCGAAAGATCTGATAAGGCTAAATTGAAGAACTTCAAATTTTCAGGCTAATAGTAGTTAATAATAATAATACTAATAATAGTAATAATAATTGAAACAAACAAACAAAAGAAAACAAAATCTAAAGGAACAAAGTTGTCACTTCAATTGCCAAAATGTTTCCTTTTTTGGATGGTATAATGTTTTCTACTATGAAAGGGATAGCATAAATCCTTTTGAAAAACAAAAACAAAGGGGAAAAGATGGAAAGAAAAAAAAAACGTCAGAAAGGACTTTTTAGACATTATTAGGCCATACTGAAGGAAAAAAATAAATAAGTAAAAATACTCTAAGATGCTATTTTCGTTCTTCATGTCAGTGTATTTATTTAAATGGATGTGACAGTAGAGACTAAAGGACAAAATCTGTGCCATCCGTTCAAGTTACAAACCATAGAGCAACAAAATGGACAAACACAAGGATTGATATAGCACACAATAACTTACCCTCTTCCCTTTTTTGTGAGGTTTCAAGAGAAACGATGAATCACTCTTCATAGGCCAGCCTAACTCAAAGCATGCAGGTGACCTCCATACACATTGCAAACAAGGGAAAACACGCATTACACTCTGAACCAGAGATCATGTAAAACATCCAGAAACAAAACATGACAACAAACCAAAAATATTCATTGAAGTCATCATAATTCCGCCATGCTGAATGTGCAGCTTTCCCACTATTGTTTCTATCAGCTTCCTGTATGTACAGAGAAGAATCCAAATTACTGAAGGATCAATTGAAGCACAATATGAAAAACCGCAAATGAGAAGAAATCCTTGATAAATGGAAAGCTACAAGAAATCTGGAAAAAACAACATCACTGCAATTCTGTACATACGAAATCACAATTGTGTGAAACAGTTACTGAGAAAAACATTTCTGGAGAACTCGCATATGTTTTAGCATTGAATATAAGCATCTCTTTCTTGCTAAGAACAGCTTTGTCTGCTTTTTCTTTCTCTTCTTTAAAATAAAAATTCATTTCTTTCAAGTTGACAAGAGATTGTCCTTTTTTTCCTTTTTGCTTTGTTCTCTTTGTTAGTTTACCAATCCATCCCAAAAGCTTAAGCTATTAAGAGGTGGGCCAACAATAGTTTTATATTTTAACACTCCCCCTCACGTGTGGGTTGAACAATGAGCAATCGTGTGGGTAAATTAATTAGAAAGCCCAACACGTGAATATTTAAGCGCGAGATATATTAAAGACCCAATACGTGATGACAATTTAATAGGGATAAAGAGTGCAATTACGGGAGTTTGAACTCAGGACCTTCCGCTCTGATACCATGTTAGTTTACCAATCCATCCCAAAAGCTTAAGCTATTAAGAGGTGGGCCAACAATAGTTTTATATTTTAACACTCTTTTATTACCAAAATCCACTCCTTACCCAGCAAATAACAGTAACAAAGGTAAATTATTTCATGATTGACGGAATAAGACCATGGAACATATCAAGGAAAAGTGAAAACGTCAAATTGAAAGAAGTCTTAGCAAACCTATCTAACTTCTGCAACTAATCCATATCGCTCAGCAAGAACTAATATAACAAAAACTTGATAACACAAACAACCCGTGATGGTGGATTAGGCGAAAAATGGAATCAAGTTCAGTAACAGCAGACAAAGAACTGCAATACCACAATTTTTTCTTTTTACCTTTTCTTTTTAAGGAAACATGGCTTGTAATACTTCTAATTTAATTTAATAGCATAAAACTCAAGCACTGATCCACTTACATCAACCATTGTCTGATATATAGGATAAATGATTTTCTCAAGGAAGGACACAGAACCAGTTTCAGTTACACAGCTGGCAGCAGGATTAGCTTCTCCATGATCCAATATTGCGTCCAACTCTTTAGCCATCTGGGGAACAGAAATTTATAATTTTGTATTTTGAACACTTAAGGGCTAATTTAAAAGTTGCGTTATCCTGCAGTTCTAAGCAAGTGTTCCTGAATCTTCACATAGAGTACGGGAACAGTAGAAGAACATATCTATTTTCACTTATTTCCCACCATGAATTCCAGGCAATAATATCACATCAAAGGTTACATAAGAATCAACAACAAAAGGCAAGCGGTCTTATCACCTGTGACCTGTTTACAACATATTGTTGATGTTGAAGAGTTCTTAAACCCCGTTTTACCCTAACAAAAACTCATTTAAAGATATTCCATGAAGCTGGGGAGAAAGTGAAAAGATTTGAAGAATTATGGATGTCAAACTTCAGTCATATTGTAGGATTCAAAGAATTGAAGTGAAATTTGAGTTTAGATTGTGGGACAGCAATCAGTTAGTACAGGCAGTTTAAAAAAAAAAAGAAAGAAAGAAAGAAAGAAGAAGAAGAAGAGAGAGAGAGAAAGCAAAACCAGTTGAACAAGAATTAGGCACAGCCAAATAGCAAAAAACCACTTCCACTGAGTATTAATAATAAATAATTGTCTGGTACCACGATAAAAGCACAAAATCAGTATCTTCTTCAAATTTCTAAAATAAAGACTAGGTTAGGATGGGGAAAAACAAAACAATCAAACTATGGATGCAGAAAACTTACGTGGTGAAATATATAGCAAATGCACTCAGGAAGGAAACGGACATTTGCAGCTTCACCCCATATCAAAAGGTATAATGAAACCAGAAAAATTTTCCGGTCCCTATTAATTGCTTCTAAACTGCACATGTAAACAATGCAAATCAGCAGTGTGAAAAAGGAGCTACGTAGTCAAAACAATATCAGGTTGCAAATGATACCTATTCCAAGCAATGCGTATCCGCAAGTATTTGCACCATTTGATATAATTATCCAGCACCTTCAAGAATACCTCATTGATTGCCTTCTCATCTATTTTCTAAAGATACCAAAAACATAAAAGAATTAGTTGACATCACATCCGAATCCCTGCCAAACACACACCAAACAATGCATAATCATATATGACAGAATTATGAACGACAAAAAAATACCAATCAGTAACCACGCAAATGTGGTGTGAACACAAGAACCAACTGCAAACACAAACTAACAATGAAAATTGGGAACTACAAATATGGCATCATTTCTTCGTAGACTTTTACCATGTCAAGCATTTTGAAAGTTCTTAGAAAGATGATAACTTTTATGCTAAAAATCACCTAGGAAAAAAATGCTACAGAAATTCAGCAATTCTGCGTCGTTTATTCATCACTAGTACAAAAAGCATCATCACAGACCTTATTTTATAAAGAAAGAAATTCATTGATTCAAAATAAATACAAGAAGTTTCATGATTGATGAGAGGTTAATTCGACAAAAAATGATCTTTTGCCTTATCACATGTAGACTCTGGAACAAGCTATATTAACAAAGTTTGAAACTCTGTATGCTGGTCTAGACTCCAGTGATCATATATTGTATAAAAAAAATTAAAAACTATGTGGAATGACCAATGAAAAAACTAAAAACTGTGAGATAGCGATTCACTAAGAAATTGCACACAACACACATTTGGGGAAAGAAAAAATCTATGTTGGAATGGCTCTCGTCCATGTGTAAGATAAAGCTAATGAGAATGAAGGGTTAGAAGACCCAAGGCACTCACTGGATCAGCCTCAACAGGTATGCCAAGTCGAGACTGTGCATTTGCAATGGCAAGAACAACGTGTTCTCTCTGGTTCCTTATGTTGTCTTTCTGCCAAAAAAAGGTTTAAAGCAATTAACAAAAAGATACCAAAAAGTAATGTGGAGGAAATTCAAAAATCATATACGAGGATAGGAATAACTGGTACAAGGAGACTATCAGGAGCATCATTACGAAATAACAAGGTAATTGGGAAATCATACATATTTTTTAATTTATATTTCTAACTTAAAACATCCATCATATTCCCTCAAAAAAAAAAAAACCCCTATCCTATTCCCATGCTGGATTTGAAACTCTAACAGCCACCTTATAGCAACCGTACAAAACTCCCACATGACATGAATAAAAAAATTTTAATAGTTAAAAAAAAGCTCTCTTTAGGAGAAAAAGTGAAAGTAATAAAGAAAGAAAACAAACGGTGCACAACTTGAGGGACTAGAACTACACGAAGAAAGCTTCTAAAAGCATATGTATTACTTATTTAAGAAATTATAACACAAATTTTAGAATATTTTTGCATCAAAAAGCTTGACAGAGGTGGTAAGTGTGAAAAGACTTTAAACATTAATCCTGTTAGGAACGGCATAAGCATCTGTGGATGTCCCATGTAAGGCCAGCACAGATAAAAATATGGTGTCATGCACTTAGAGTTTAGGCAACAAACAAGTGAAACCAAGGTTCTACCAGAATCAAAATTTGCTCCTTGTCATTAGATTCTGTAACCTTAGTGTATCTATAGATGTTCAGTGACTGGGATGTTACTTAATATTAGGGTAGCTATAGACAAAGCGTCCGAGGTTGTGTTCCGGTTTAAACAGTGCGCTATTTCAAAAGTATGATATCCATTACTTCTGAAAAAAAAAAAATTTTAAAATGAACAAATATGCATCAACAAACTAAATGCACCAAATTGCTCCTTCCCCTCCATTTTCTCAACCTGAGGCCACCAAATAGTTGTATATTCATGTTTACCCACATGGCTTCCAGCCCAAAGCAGCCGCAACCGAGCATCTCTTGGAGCATATGCAAACTTCCAAAATATTATGTGAACTCAGAGTCATGCAGAAGGCAACAACTTTATGATATGTGCCTTATACATGCAATATTATGTCATAGATTTGAATAGTGACATTAATTTAGTTCCTTCCTAACAGTTTAGTAAGCAAATCTAATAGTATGAGATTGTATGAGTTGCAAAAAAATAAGTGATACAAGCAAAATTATCAAAGAAAGCATGAGGATTTAGAATGCATGTAAAAAAATCGGCATGTTAAGTTGAATTTAATCATGGTGGCTACCAAGGAGAACTACAAGTATATATACAAACCTGGAAACCAAACACATATTCCAGAAGATCAAACGTGTCTGCATCTCGTTGCCCATATATTTCAAAATCAGCTGGAAGTCTAGGGAAGTGTTCGCAATATCTAATAGCCGATATTGCACCTCTAACCTGTTACGGAATTGAAAATACATGTCAGAACTGACTAAAATAGTTTGATCACAGAGTAACGCAAAACCCTAGGGCAGGAAGAATATAATAATAAGTTTCTTTTAGAAAAGGTGACTGATATTTGAGATCTATGAAAGTTACTTCAATATAATCAATGACACGAGATATCAGAAAATTTGAAACTGAGGTATGGCTTAGGAAATAAAAGCGGTAAAGGGTATGAAAAACAGAGCAACAGTTCTTAGTTTAGGTTCAACTTACCTCTGGAAAGAAACCGATGGCATTGGTCAGTGATGGCGCTTCAAGAGGTACAATATTATATGGTATGAGCTCCGCAGATAATGTTGCTTCAGAGGCTTTTAATCTTCGCAACTGAAAACCACAAAGAACAAAGGGTATCCTCAACAAAATCAACCCTTTTTAAGGTAAATTCTACCATTTTCTTTCTTAAGCCTCAGATATTGAGAAATACCATAAGCTTCTATACAAGTAGAACGTCAATGCTCAGAAGTAACACCTTAGAGTGAACAAGTTTTCTACCATTTTCTTTCTTAAGCCTCAGATATTGAGGAAATATCATAAGCTTCTATACAGGCAGAAAGTCAATGCTCAGAAGTAACACCTTGGAGTGAACAAGTTTTCAAGTCGTTGTTATAGCGTAAACCTCTAAAATGACTAGGCATACATAAAAATTTATAATAAGATTTTAGTGAACAATATGAACCAAACTCCTCTTACATCTTCATTTACACATTACAAAATGAATAAAGCATTTAGCCACAACCAATACGTCAATAGTAAGTTAAAAAAAAAAAAAGTTTTAAGGACCGGTACCTCATCCTTAATAAGTCTACCAACTCCATCAGGATCTGCATCGTTGCTAAGGGCCTCCATGACCTCAACTAAGGCCTTCAAGGTAGCAACTATCCTTGTCATCTCTAAAGATCTAAGTTCCAACCTGAAACGAAAAAATGTGGGGATAATATCAATGAAAAAACTGAAATAGAAGAGGTATACTTCCTTAATTTGCTTGTGTTGAAAGAACTGAACATAACTTTTCAATTCAAAACCCAAAGAACTGAAAATATGATTAAGTTACAAGTATTGATAGCAAGTTGAAAGCAACAAAAAGTTACGAACTCTTTCCATCTACAAATTGTGTGTGCCAATACAGAGCAACTTCAGTCTTCATGGCATTAAAAAGTATATACAACACCACCAGACATAACATAGAAGCCCTATCAATCCTTAACACAGGCTACAGCAAAAACCTTCCCCAATACAATAGTGACAACAAAAATAAAAAATAAAACATGCCAAATCAGCTTTTCCTGCTTTCTTAAGCATGGAATTAGGATAATAAAACCATTTAAAAAATAGCCATACTCTCCAAAGTTAGCACTAAAACTTCCGGACTCCCGCAATCTTTGTTCCTCTCTCTGCATATCATCCACTCTATGCCGTCTCTTGTACCGTTGGTAAAATTCCCAAAGGTGCTCAATATCACGATTACGGTCTATCCGCCCCCCATCCCTTTTCGCAAGTTTTTGCTGCAAATGAAAGTAAACCCCTTATTAAACCAATTGTGCAAAACCTAACCAAGAATTGTTTGTCCCTATTCCCTTATGAACAATTCAAGAATGAGAACTTAAATAATACCTTAATCACAGACATTAAACCGGTCTTGAACTGAAGAACACCTCTACCATCGCTGCTAGGGTCCAAATTTTGCGCCATACTATATGCCTGCTCACACACTGAGATTGAAACCATAGAATTTGTTTAAAATATGTAAACAGATTAACATTATGTGCGTGTATATCTAAATTTTCCAATCAAAAAATAATTAAATGCCATTAGCGAGAACACTCGAAAGAAATTCGCATAATCTTCAAAAATAGGGAGTTGAAGTTGAGAAAAACCCAACATAAAACGCCATGAGCTAACGAAGAGCTCCATAAGTTCAAATTGCTCAACATTATAGCACTAAAAACTGATTTCCTTTAAATAATATCACGAATCAAATATTGTAGAGGTTTTGCAGTAAGATTAGAGCTGAGAAGTGAGAATCACGAAACTTGAATTCTCCGATTTCGTAAGGGGAAAAAAAACAGAAAGCGAAAAGACGAAGACAATGCTTACGTATCCTTGAGACGGTGGGATTCTCGGACAGAATCTCATCGGCGGCTTGTAAGATCGCTTCGATGTTAGTCGTCTTCCCAAGCGACGGCGGAACTGCGCCGGCGATGCCAATGGGAGTCCTCCCGTGGCCTTGGCCTGCTGCTCTGAGCTGCTCTCGCTTCAGCGTCGCTCGGACCAGTCTCTCCCAATTGTCGTAAACCCTAGCCATGGCTAGTGGAAGCTGAACCTGCTTGAGATTTCGAAGCCCTAGCTGCACTGTTCCTGCGATCTGAGAGTTCGGTAATGGCGACGAGCTCCGAGTGCGGTGAGCCGACTCGGACGCGGATGAGTCGAATCGGCGACGATTTTCTTTCTGACAGAGAAAATGGAAAGCTCTTTTTTTCTTTTTCAAATGGAAGGTGAAAAGAGAACCAGAAAAAATGGGATATAGGGAAATGCAATACAAGTCGAATAAACGCGGAGGTCGCGGGAAAGATGAAGTGAATTACGAAATTTGCCCCTTAAGAAAGCTTCTCTATAGTTTTCCTTCTTCATTTATTTGATTTTTCTTTCATTTTCCTAAGAAACCCCATTTTCTTTTTCTTTTTTTCCTGTAAAGCGCGTAATATATGAAGGAAGGAAAAAAAAACTTGACTTCGACGAAATGAGAAAACAAAAGTTGATATCTAACTTTTCTTTAAAAAAAAATATGGGTAGAGTTCTAACTCTTCATTAACTTGTGCTTAGGGTACGTTTATTTGCATAATTTAAGTTATAATTTGAGTTATGTATATGAGAAAAAATATTGTAATAAAAAAATTAAATTTAAATTTTTATGAGAAAAAATACTATAACAATATGACTTAAATCGTGAAATGAACAATTAAGGATTTGTTATTTTGGATGGCTGGAATTATGACTTGAGTTGTGTATGTGAGAACAAAATAATGTAATAAAAAATTAAATTTAAATTTTTATGAGATAAAATACTGTAATAATATGACTTGAGTCATCAAATGACATACCCTTTTGAAATCATACTTTTTATACTTTGCAAGGACAAAGTTAAAAGCCGTGTTCATTTTACAATTCAAACTCAATATTTATTACTATAATATTTCTCTCATAAAAATTTAAATTTAACTTTTTTACTACAGTATTTTTTTTCTTACTTAACTTACATTATTAAACAAACATATCCAAAAACTTATCCTAAGAAGTGAGAGAAAAAAAAATGAAATTATTTCAAAGCACGTCTAGGATTTGTTTCGAAGTTTAAAAAAATGCAACAAAAAAAAAAATACATTTTCCTCAAAAGTGAAAAGAAGAAAAAGGTAGATCATGATTCATCAGTTTTTTTTGTACTAAAAAAAGAGAATTTAGTGGTGCACTTTATGTCTTTTAACCTCTTCAACTATAGCAAATAATCCCGAGGACCGCTGAGTATGTGAAAAGGGCTTGAACTATTCTCCCACTAGCCATCTAATCAGTTTTTACTCCCTTTTATTTTGTGGGGCCAACGAAAGGCCACTTAATTTTTCACAAGGGGCAGGGTAGCAACGCGTGAGTATAAAGTATCGAACCTTGGGAAAATGGGCAAAGGAAATCTAACAAAAGCGTTCTTACCACTACACCGCGATTATCGGTGGTTCATGATTCATCAGTTTAATAGGGACCATTAATAAGTGTTCTAGGTAGTATTTAATGTTGTTTAGTTTAATTTGTCCAAAAGGGATTAAATCAAAGCTTTTAAATGCACTTTGGAATTTGAAAGTTTGAAACCGTTCATTGGGCCAGGCCTCATTAAGGAATATGTTTATTAATATTTATTTAGGAGATTAACACGTATTGATTGGCCAAGTTTATTAATATTTACGTACTTTTTTACTTTTACATGACTTTATGTAGATCCGATAGATAAAAAATTTAATCTACTGATATGTTGACATACCGGAAAAGATTTTTATTTATTTTTAAGTACAAGGGAAATAAATAAATAAGGAAAAATATTTATGAGAAATGAGACAAATATCTCTTTACTTTTTTAATATTTGAGTTATGGTGATTCGGGTAAAAATCTTAATTTGAGTTTATTTTTAGATGTGCACATTTGAGTTAAGGTTTGAATTGAGAATCTAATTTTAAGTTTGTGTTAAGTTATACCAAAACTTGAGTTGTGAATAGTAAAAACTGAAGGGAATGTAATTATTTTTGTTTGGATTTATTATTTAAGGTAAGAGAAAATAATTTTTTTAACTGTATCATATAACTCATGTGAGGTGAGTTGAAGGAAAGCATGAACTTGAAAAAACTGGTGCTTTACTTGAATCGTTTTGGATTTGAGTTTAGGGAACATAAGAGCAACTTGGACCAAAATTAGGACTTGAGTTTGGCTTTTTTGAGTTTAGGGGAGCAAAAGAACATCCCCTAAATTAATAAAAAGAGTATTAATTAAGAACACCGGTAAAAATTAAGAGTAAGGCATCGTAAATCCTTTTTCTGGGCAAGAAGATTCTTCAAGTTTTATTCTGTTTTCGGTAATCTTATTTACATAATTTTAATATTTAGATATAGATTTTCCTGATACTTTATGTGCTAACACGGTTATGAGGGCTTATTTGATGGGTTTTGACTAGAGATGTAAGTTTAGACCATCCGGCCTAAATTATCCGGCCCTAAAAGAGAGAGGATCAGCCAAGTCGGGCCCTAAATTTAAAAAGTTTAGGATTGGCCCAACTTGGCTCTAGATTTTATAAGGTATTTTTTTTTTTAAAAATATGATGTTTAAGCCATGCCGACCTAGCCCTAAAGGAAAGAGAGTCAGCGCAGACAGGTCCTAAGCTCAAAAAATTTAGGACCGGGCACTGACCAACAGCGACAAATCTTGAGTTGGCTCATTTAGCCCGGCCTAAACTTACGGTTCTAGTTTTGACTCAGATCAACATTATTTTAGGGCCCGTTTAGTTCGCTTATTCAAGTTTTTAATTCGAGTTGAGATGTGACTTTATATAAGAGCTTTTTACTATAGTAAAAAAGTTAGATGTAACTGTTTTTGAGAGTTTTTTACTGTAGCAAAACTCGAATCGGTAAAATGAACGGGACCTTAGTGTGCTATACATAGTAATTTTTGTTTATAATCGATTCAGCCGGAAAGAGTCTAACTAAGGAAGATCAAAATAATCCGAGACCTGAAGTGGATTTTGAAGCGACTTCAAACCAAAAGTACTACAAAGGAGGGCTATTTTCTAATTACTTGTATTGTGGTCGGGCCACAATTAGGTGTGAAAAGGACTATATACAGCCTCATTCATATTTAATGTGAGCTTCTAGATTGTATCCTACAGGTAGAGAAAAGTAATGCAATGCTATAATTGATGTGTCAATTATAAATTTAGTATTAGAGTGTAAAAATACTATCTAATATAATGTTATTTGTTATGTCAATTTTCTCATATGCTATATTTTATGATAAATTTCTCACTAAGTATAGCATATGAGAAATTTGACATTTAATTGCTATTGATCGGAATGTTTTACTTTTTTATATAATCATTACAACTTTTGCATTTTTTAATTATTTTAAACATAAAAGTTTACTTTTACAACTTTTAAAGTTTAATAATTATGAGAAAAAGTAAATTTAACATTTTAAATAGCATTTTGCATTACAATAAAAATGAAAATAACATACTACATTATACTTTTTGATGATAAATATACAATTGATATTAACATTTGTATTAGAGAGGATGACATGCCCTTCTTTTATTTCTACTTTCTTTTGCCTCATTAAAATTTCATATTCTAACAACTTATAAACCTCTAATTTTTTCAATTTTGCCTTATTGCTTGCTAAATTATTACGAGGTGGTCCATGCTACTAATTTTCCTTTATTTTTTGGTCAAATTTTAAGGAATACAGTTGGAGAATGAGAGGTTTATGTGCTACAGTCGAACACTACCATTATCCAAATGAAATACTTTGCAACAGTTTAGCAAAATAGGAACAAATTATTAAAATTAAAAATTTATGAGAGAAGTTGCCGAAACCCTCGTATGTTTCGTTGGGAGGAATGGAATGGAAAAAAAGATCATTCTGATCATTCTATTGTTTGGTTACTTTATTTTGGCTAAGAAAGCCTTTCCGTCGGAAAGCTGATTCACTCAATTTGAGTGAATCCTCATTCACGTGGGGGGTGACTTGAATGGCCTTTCCATTCAGCGCTCTTAATTTTTTTCCCCAATTTGGCCCTCGTCCCCCCTCGTCCCCGATCAAAAGAAAAAGAACCCTAGCCGCATCTCGCCGCGACCACGACTCCAACTGAGGCCAGCGCAGACACTTGACGGACGGAAGGTCGACCGACTGTTGACGCCGACGACGAGAAACGACCGCAGGTACAATCTTCCCTCTTCTTCCTTCGTGGTTCTTGGAGATCCCTCTGTTCTGGCTTCGTTTTGATTTTTTGAAATCTTCTCTCATTTTCGTTCTGGATCCGTAATCAAAGCCCTAACATTGTTTCTTACTGCGGTTAACATCTCAGAAACTAGTTTTCTCTTAATTTTTCTTTTCCTTTTCTCGGTTAGGTTTTGGATTTTTCGGATTCTTCTTGCTTCTGCATATTCGTTTTCTCAGATTTCTGAAATTTGAGATAATGTAATGGTTCACATATTGGCTGTTTTGATTATTTGTTTTCATGCTCGCTGATTTCTGGATTTCTGGATTCGATTTTGGATTTTGGTTCGATTTTTATTTCGGATTTTGCAAGAATATCAGTTTTTTGGATAATGATATTCGTTTTCTCAGATTTTGATATGGAGAAGACAAGCTACATGTTATTTGTGATTGCTTTCCACTCGGAAAACGGCAATGTGATTTTCATATTACACGGCTTTGATATTTACGAATATGAAATTGGTAGCAACAATTCTGAGAAAGTTTTCAAATTTTCTAAATTACCAGTCTCAAGTTGTCTGATCATGTTGTTTTTTGGATAATTATTATTTTTTTGGGTTGAATTTGGATTGATTATTTTTGGGTTGAATTTTTTTGTGTATTTTTGAGGACCTACCTCAACCTTCCTTCTGAGATCATCCCTGCTACCTTGAAGAAGCAGGCCAAGCCCACCAGCAAGGTCCTCGGTGGCCCAGGGGGCGACCGCCCTCGGTAATTCCTTTGCTTCTTGTGTTTAAGTTTTAACTGGTAGTGATTTGGATTAGTTTTTGGTTTATATTGTTGAGATTTTTGCCGCGTTTGTTAGTCTTTCTTTCCTTGCTTTTATATATTCACGCTTTCTTTCTTGTTTTTATATGCATACTTTTTTCCATATTGTTAGTTGGTGCTACAATGTGATAGTTGGTGCTACAATTTAGAAGCCTCTCGCATATGAATGTCGACTTCATACCTTGTTGATGGCATTTCCATAGGAATTGTTATAGCAATGTATTGTTCACTTCATTGCTATTATTAAATTAAACTCATCAGCGTGCGTTTAAATGGCTCGCTTTGGTTGTTTTATTGTAGGATAATGGCTCGCTTAGGATTAGTCAAAAGTGAAAGTCTGAGAAAGAGGAAGATAGTGGCTTTGCTTTTACATTGGTTGAATATTATGCATGTAGTGCAATGGTTCTTTGAATTGATGGAGAGTGGTGATGGAGGATATAGAACCAATACGACTACAGAGACAACTTTATGTGCTCGACGTGTTTGTTCATAGGCAATATGTTTATCAACTAGCTTACGCAAGTGATGTCATATGCAGAGATCAATTAAGGATGATCAGAATGATCTTTCCTTTCCATTCCATTCCTCCCAACCAAACATACCGTCCTCGGAGTGTCTTTTATTTGTTTAGAGGCAAATCTGTAAAATGTCTTTTATTTGTTTTCTTCAATTCTTCCAAACACAGCCTTAAAGAAATAACACAGATTGCAGCGGGAGAACAAGAGGATGTTGCGTGTTTGAATGTTGATCCTCGGAGTTCCAGAACCGACAGCTTTCTCAACTGAATCCCACACCAAAACCTCGTAAAGCTGCTCTGCAACTCCTCGTTACCGGTCAGTAATCCTCTTCAACTGAAATTATACCTAATTGTACTCCTTTTTTTTTCTTTTCAAAATTTACGCTAAGAATCCAAACGGCTATTTTGACTTGGATCTTCATAATTTCATCTACGCTTGGGAATTATTGATTGTCTTGATCCGTTTGGTTCTCTAGAATATCATCCAACAAAAAGGAAAAAGAAAATCATTAAGGATCAGTTTGAAGCCTGGATTTCATGGAAGAAAGGAACAAAACAAATCTGAGGAAATGAGTTTTTTTTTTTAATTAAAGAAAATATTGAAGAACTTTTGAAAACAAACCTTGATTTCTGTTTCCGCAACACAAGTCCGAAGAAATTTCACGTTATTCTTCTCTTCTTCGCGCAAATCCATCTTCTGCTCCTCTGCGAATCGCCGAACCAGATCTCGCCGCCGCCCTCATATGTATATTGCTGAGGATGTGAAGCAACAGAAAACGATAAATCATGGTTTTCATTATTTGCACTGTATTTTGAGTTTGATTTCAGAAACTTTTTTTGTTGATTCAGAAACAAGGGTACCGAACATTTTTTTTGGGTTTTTCTTTAATCATAAAGTTGATTCCGGAGTGGGAACCAAACGGCCCCTTATCTTTTCTTCCTCGTTTTTTCTTTTGTTTTGTACTTTACTTCATATGTGTAGATATATATATATATATTTTTTTTTTTTTCACCTGAAAATTTGGGTTATAAAATGCCTAACTGGATCAAGTGAGCTATTTTTTGTTCCAAGTTTTTTTTTTTATCTTTTTAAAGAAGAAATTTGTTTATGTGTATATCATTTATCAATTGAAGCTTGTCATTTTCATTAACAATCTATTGTGGCTGTTTGCTCGTTGTTACGTGTATTGGACCTGCAAGAATACTGTACTTGAACATCATTATGATATATATATATATATGTATATATATATATATTTTGGCTGAACTTCCTTTGGATTTGTGTGTGTTTACTCAATTTTTGTAATGCTTGTATGAATCCAAGATGTTTTTGTGTAGAGAATGTTTTATATGAAGAAATTTTTTGCGTAGGTTTTATGGCGTCAGAGCTTGTGGCTGGGGAGAGAGAGCCAATGCAAGTCAATGCTGCTCCAAGAAGGCCTCGGATTCTACTGGCTGCGAGTGGAAGCGTTGCCGCCATAAAGTTTGGCAATCTCTGCCATTCCTTTGCCGAATGGGCAGAGGTACGAGCAGTCGCAACTCGGGCGTCGTTGCACTTCATTGACAGAGCGTCGCTTCCGAAAGATGCTGTTCTTTACACTGATGAGGATGAATGGTCTAGTTGGAGCAAAATAGGCGATAGCGTGCTCCACATTGAGCTCCGCCGGTGGGCCGACATTATGGTTATTGCTCCTTTATCGGCGAATACACTAGGCAAGGTGAATAATTTGGAGATAGCAATCTGCAAGAGTTGTTATAACTTTTACATATTAGGTTTGTTTTCGAGTAAATGTTAAAGTAGTCCTCCATTATCTAGTGGTTGTTTTACTAGAAATATGATGATACTGATTAGTGCATTTCACTGGAAAATGCATGTCACACCTTCAAAACCTTCAAAATTTAGCACTCTTATCCTTCAGGTAGAGTGAGAAAAAGAAAAATGCAGTCCCTAAGACCAGATTCTGCTCCTTTTAGGTTTATCATACTTTATGCTTATGTTTAACCAAATCCCATGTTTGTTAGTCCATTTTTTCTTGGTACAAGAGGCATTAGTGTCCAATATTGATCCATTGGCCTACTTTTTTTAATTAATTTTTTGTAGTTTTTTTTATTGGAGACATCAGTGTATTTTGCATAGTTTCTTTCTGCTCTATGCACAACACCGATGTCTAATATGAAGAAAAATCTATTCAGGTTGAGTTGTTGTCTATATTTCATATGCATTATATAAATATTATGAATGTTTCAGAGAATGTCCTTATATTCAGATAGGACCTTTTTCTGCTTTTCCATAAACTTCATGATTTGGTGTTTTACTAAGTCTGACATCCCGTGTCCTTATTGTAGATTGCTGGGGGGCTATGTGACAACTTACTGACCTGCATTGTGCGGGCATGGGACTACACCAAGCCAATATTTGTTGCACCGGCCATGAACACCTTCATGTGGAACAACCCTTTCACGGAGCGACATCTCATGTCAATTGACGAGCTTGGAATTTCTCTTATCCCGCCCGTCTCGAAGAGATTAGCTTGTGGGGATTATGGGAATGGCGCAATGGCTGAACCTTCTTTAATCTACTCAACAGTTAGACTCTTTGTAGAGTCGCGGAATCAACAAGGTGGCAAAAATGTTCAGCAACAGCAAGTAGTATCATAAGGTTTTAATTTGAAGACTTAAACTGCATTTTTAACTTTTTCGGGTCATTCTGAATTGTTGTTGCAGGCCTTCGATCTTGTAATGGTACTGTTTTAGTCTGTTGATCAGGCTAACTGTACATCTGTTAGGAGTTAGGAATTGATTTGGTCTACATGTATTAACTCTGTGATTTGATTTTGAACCATCATCTTGTTGATGGATTAAGTTGAATATATGATAGATAGTGCTCAAATTACATATTTGATCGGCCTAGTAATTTGCTGGTGTGTCCAGTTGGCTTGGTTGAGTTACCAACTTACCATGACAAGACTCTTAGGCCTTGTTCTTTTACATGATTTGAGTTATAATTTGAGTTGTGTATGTGAGAGAAAATATTGTAACAAAAAAGTTAAATTTGAATTTTTTATGAGAAAAAACACCGTAACAATATGACGTGAGTCATGAAATAAACATAACTAGAATGTTTTGTTGCATGCATTTGAGACAACTACTATCCCATTTGTTTGATAGATTCAACCATAATTCTAACTGTTTTGGTATGGTATCTTCTCTCTTAAAAATTTAAATTTTTGTTCAAACTTTATGTTCTAACATGTGAACTAAACGGGCCACTTTTTTAAATGGCTGAGGATTTGGATAGTGGCATGATGAATTGCATTCCTACAATGACTAATTAAAAACATATTATGGTTGGTGGATCACTACCTGTAATTCACTTAAGCTTAATGGGAAGCACCTCATAAGAAATTAATCTTTGCCTGCTTTCTTTTAAAGAAAAATGTTAGCATCACTCTTTCTATCACTCTTTGTATTTATTGTTTGACAAATGGACTCCACTAACATAATATGTTATTATTTAAACAAAAAATGAGATAGTAGAATTTACTTATCAAATAGTGAATGCAGAGAATGACAGAAAAAGTGATGCTTACATTTATCTTCTTTTAAGTTATAAGGTACTTACAAACTCATGTGTTTAACTGGTTAATCTGTTTTGTTTAGCTTTCAATGTAGTTGGCACCATGGCTTTGAAGTAGGTTTGCAGCACCATGGCTTTGAAGTTTGATGCAAACGTACACATTAAAAGGAACATTAGTGGTTAGTTGCCGACTTATTTTACAAGGTACAAGGATCATGAAGGCAAATTACCATGGCAGAATTTACTTATTTACTTAATGGGACTTAGCAAATGTCTACTGCATACTTTTTTTTTTCTTTTATTATTATTTTAATATAATTTTAATTATATTTAACATAAACGTGCATTACCGATAGGTTATTGGTACCGTAAAAAGCTCCTTGCTTATGTCAAGCTATTATAAATTCTTCTTAAAATAGTTTATTTTTGTCAAGCTGTCGGTAGTTAAATTGGATTACTGGTGGCTGACTAACTATTTCCTAAATTTAGCAATTAATGCAAGTCATGCATCTCATTAATAATAGCTACTGCAAGTCATGCATCTCATTAATAATAGAGCTACGTGTTTGAATATTTAGCAATTAATGCAAGTCATGCATCTCATTAATAATAGAGCTACGTGTTTTAATATTAGGAAACTTGCTTTTTGTTGAAGATCATCTTTCTAGATAGTCTCTAGATCTAGATTATAACAATAATGAAAGTACCAGTGAGAGAGCTTAAGGGTTATTCATTTCACAATTTAAATTTTATTATTATAATTTTTTCTCTTATTCAAATTTAAAGTTAATTTTTTTACTATAATGTTATTGATATTTGATTTTGTATCAGGTTTATTTAAGGGTTCAGACCCAATCATAACGTCACGCGACGTTATTGAGCTCGTTTAGTAGACCCAAGCCACGTTCAGGGAACTCCTGTAGATTGTGATTTTGTGGGTCATGCGTGATCAAATAGGCCCGTTTATCGTTAGTTCGATCTAATTTGAATCATGCTTGAAGAGTTTTCAGAATTAATCGGATTAAATACAAATGGGTGTGGAGAATTTTCAAAAATCTTCCTCCCGTCTTTTGGAAGCCCAAAATTCCTAAGTCGATACCTTAGAACCTCTTCCTCTTCATCAAGATTGATTCTCAGTGTTTTGACTCGAACGGAGGCTCTACCTGCTTCAGACATGCCTAATGGAGACTCCCTCTGTGGTAGGCATGTCTCCCGGAGCATCCTCTTCATGTCCAAGTATGCCTAACAGAGCCTTTTCTGTGTCAGACATATTTCCTTTGGACTTCTTCTCGCCCAACTCACCATCGGAGCAATCTTCGCTTAGAGCATGCTCACCCTTCGGAGCAGCCTTCTTCAGGAGCACGCTCACCGTTGGAGCAGCTTCATTCGGAGCAACTTTCGTGTTAGAGTCAACTTGGCGGCTGCTTAATTAATATTATATAAACCATCTCTGACAAGGTCTGACATTCGAACATGCCTCCGAAAGAGGAAGTTAACGGAGCACAAAGTTGAGTCAAATACTTTTGAGAATTTCAGACCCTGGAACTCTTGATGCCAACTCTAAATCTGAAACTTTGCCTCTAAGTCTTTCCATTTTCAAATCTTTTCTTTGTCAATCCGAAAAGTCATATGATCGCTTTGCTCCAAGAAAAATTGCATGTGCAGGTCTTCGTTAGAGCACTGCCAATTAGGCTTCGAAGTAGCCACCATGAACTTTTCCTTCCATTTCCGGACCAATTCTGTTTCAACTCTGAAAAGGCTTCTGATAACTTTGCTCTATTTTGATCACGTATACATGTTTCCTTCAAAGTGCAATCGATTCACCTCTAGAGTAAGTTTTCAGAAGTCTTCATTCCATTTTTTGCCAATCTCCTCTTCAACTTTAGAAAGGTGTCAGAAGGCTTTGCTCCATCAGGATTGCTTGTGCAGGTGTCCATCAAAGCACGCCGTATGAACTTCCAGAGCTGCCGCCAAAATCCTGCAAACTTCACATATAAATACCCTCATCTTTCTCATTCCATATGACCTGAGAAGACCTAAAAACCTTTGCACTCCCCACATCTTCATTTCACAAAGCTTAATCCACCTGATAACTCTATAAAATAGAGTTATTTTCTCTCTTATTTGCACTTAATTTAACTTTGTTCTTGAGAATTTTTATTTATTTATTTTATTTTTTAAGTTTAGTTTACATTTATTTTGGTTCACTTTACTTTATTTTAGTTTATTTTATTTAGTTTCTCCCTAATTATTTTATTAATCCCCATTTGTGTTAGGTGAAAATGGCAAATTAAACTTGATTAGGAGGATGAAAAAGGAGTTAAAGAGCATTATCTCGTTCATTTCACCGATTTGAATTTAAAATTTGAGTTTTGTTATAATAAATTTTTTTAAAAAATAATCACATTTAATTTTTTTATTACACTAAAAAAATTTTCATATAAAATTACATATCAACTTAAATTAAAAACTCGAATCAACAAATTAAACGGCCTTAAATACACGTAAGCATCCTTTACTCCACGCACCAGCTCCACACTCACGTCAAAGCATCCCTCATGCCCAATGTCGCGCCGCCACGTGGCCTGTCTGCGTTAGAATCTAATGGGCTTGCTTTACTTTTGTGCTCACGTGAAACAAAGGCTATATAAGAGCCTTTAGCCGCAACTGAAGAAGAGGTGACCCCGCGCACTGAATTCGACGAACAGGCGCCCAAAATAATTAAAGCCCCGTTGAAAGAGCTGATTAGAGAATTATTTGGGGAAATTATTTTGAAAAATTTAGGATAACTTTTTAGGGTTATTTTATTTAGGTTTTATTTGAGGGCTATTAGAGAAGGTATTTCTAGAAGGAGAATAAGAGATTTAGAAAACGTAGTTTTGAGACCCGTGACACTCTCAATCGGTTTTATTTTCTAATTTTACAATTCTCTATTTTTGTTCTTTAATTTTGCTTAGTTTGATTATCTAGGGCTACGATATAACCGGATTATGAGTATTGATTTTTCTTGTTTTTAATTAATTCATGTTTTATTCCTTAATATGTTGAGTGTTTCAATTTATTCTTAATGCTTGTGATTGTCTAATTAACAATTGCATGAATTGGTGTTTAATTATGAGATTGAGTAGTGATGGTTAAACATGACCCGTGATTGTTATGCCATTAGAACATCATAAGTTAGAGATAATTATGTGACAAGTGCAGTAGTTATGATTTCTTGTTCTTAATAAATTTCAACACGTTAAAGTCTTAATAGAGATATAGGGTCTGCATAGTTAGGGTATGATTATTGATGTTTGAGAAAGATTAATAATTAACGTAGAGAAATTCACTGTCAGCATTAGGAATAAACATAATTAATTTGAATAGGAATTTTCAGATTTGATTAATTTTGGTGAGTCATAGGCCGGGATAATTTAGGTTATTTGTTTTATATTTGTTATTTTTGATTTTATTATTTTCATCTCAATTTTGGTCATTTGAATAATCTTTAGGGTTAACCAATTTCGGTACTTAATTGAATTAACGCAATCCTCGTGGGATCGACACTCTATTCATTACTTTATTACTTGTTAACGATAACGTACACCTACATTACGATTTTACGCAACACCACCATCATCACCAGCTACTACTTTCATCCTCTTCAGATCACTTTCTCTCTCTTCCTTCATACTTCTCTAGTCTCTTGCTACAGAGACTTGAAGTTCTTCAACTCTTCAAAGTTCTTCATAGCTTCCAAGTGTTGACAGCCTTTGAAACTCCCCCAAAACACTTTTCGATCCATTTCCACCACCATCATAAAGTTCTTCGAAGTTTCTTCACACATTTTCTGGCAACATTCAAGTCTTTATTTTCGGGGTCACCTCTGCTCACCGTCGGAGCAAGTGCTCCGAGCGTCATTCTCACTACCAAAGCAATACAGCTGCTCTTGGAGTTCCCTTCACTAGAGTCTTATCCACCTCGCCAACTTCACTCTCATACTCCAACAGGCCTTATCCACCACTTGAGTCACCATATTCGCTCCTGGAGCAGCTTGCACTTATCTCCAGAGCACTGCTCTATCCAGGCATCTTTGGCCTCCTTTTCTCTATCTCCATCAACTACTTGGTCGCACCTCCCACCATTCTTCATCTCCGGAGTTCTTTTATTTGTGTTTGCAGATTATCTAACGTATTTTGCAGGGCATTTTTGTCATTTCGACAACAAAGAGAGTCCTAGGACACATGTCATTCGGCCTAATTTGGGCCTAGTCGACCCCACTTCTTCGTCGAAGGTCCCGCCATCATCATTTAATTTGAAGCTCGGCCACGAGGCAAACCGTGTGTTTACACATGTCAATCCCCGATACGTCAACCCTCCGGATTTACTGGACCCCGACAAATATTTTTCTCTCACATACTCAACTCAAATTCTTAACTTGAATTGTGAAACAAATATACCCTAAATCAATCAATGAAACCAATAAAAAGTTGGCATTTACTGATGGAATGGAAAGAAATGCCTCTGAGAATTCTTATACTACCATACAATTCGTCTCTATCAGTTCTCACCTCTTCCATTAACATCATCAGTGTTTCATATTCAACCTTGAAATTGAAATCACCAAGGATGCGTTTAGAACTCATTCTAAAATAATTTTATTTTTTGTATGAAAATGAAAATAAAAATGTTTTCAATTTCAGGCAGAAATCATTTTTGAAAATGCGTTTGGTAATTTTATCAAGAGATTGTTTTCAGTATAAGAAAAAAATGAAACTCCGTTTAGTTATACATTTTTGAAAACATCTAATAGTATTTTAAATAATATATAAAATAAGAAAATGAAAATATTTCTTTCTTATATATATGTAAAGAAATAACCCATTAATAGAATAATTATGTGTATATATATATGTATAAATATCTCTCGAGCATATCTAGCAGAGAGGAGAAAACGCAAATAAGAAATGAAAAACGACTAAAAATCATTTTTCATTTCTCCCTTATTTTATATGAAACTAAAAAATTATTTTCATTTCCGTTTTTTGTCTTTGATTGCTCCAAACGCTATATTCTCTTCATTTCATTTTTTCTTTATCAAAAAACGTAAAAAACGTTTTTAGAATCAATTCCAAATACGCTGCAAGTAACTCTTTTCGTACAATATGTGATAACATACAGTCAACATCTCATTTCTCCAACTGAAAAGAGAGAAGCTGAAAGTCAGTTTGGTTCATGTGTTCAAGTCATTGATTCTGATTTATTGATGAGAATTTTATGAGAGAAAAAATTTTTAAATTTAAATTTTTTGTTGGATGAAAAATATTGTATAATAATCATAATCGTGGATTCAAATATAAAAATCAAATGGGACTATAGTATTTGTGCACTTCGGAGTTAACACTCATGGGTCAACACAAGGGTGTCTTTTTAATCTCTCTCTCTGTCTTATCCATATATAACCCATATTCTAGATAGCCATACGGATTTGAAATCTGCATAGGGTAGTGTGAAAAACTTCCATGCTAGTTTATGTTTACAAACAGATAATGTAGTCGAATTTGAGGTTTTGCAACCATTGGCAAAGTTGAATGTGTGCTCATTGAGGTGGCTAGGAACAATAGGATTGCAGATGCTAAATATACTAGTGACTTATTTGATAGGAGGGAAAAGTAGAAGCAAGGAGAGGACTGACGAGAGTAGTGAAAGAATTTTGGGACACACGATTGTTTGGGCTAGAGATTTCAAATATTTCAAAAGCATGTCAATTTTAAACTCTTCTAGGATGAAAGAAATAGAGTACAAGATCCATACCAAACACAATAATGACATGTTTACTTATTTGTAATCAGAGTGGATAAGATTCGAAGTGAACAGAAATCAGAGTCAGAATTTACTTAAGTTCCAGGAATCGGTGTTAGAATAAGCTGTTTACTTAGGTTCCAATAATCGGAGTCGGAATCAGTCCCAATCCCATTCATGCGTTTACTTATACCCAGAATCGGAATAAATTGTTATAAATTTACTTACCTATCATTTTAGTAGATTTTTGTGTGTTGAACTTTTAAAAAAATTGTATATTATGCTAACTATCTTAATAGTAGGATAACTAATTAGTAATTAGATTTTTTTAATCACACCTAGATTTTTTTAATTAGTAATTAGAAATTGTAATAGTCTTGATCTCCACGAATTCTTGAAATGATGTTGTGCAATCAATGGGCAAAACATGGTTTGATCACAGATTCAACAAATAAACACAAAAATAAATAAATAAATAAATAAACTTGCGATTCAATAAAAAAGAACCACAGTGATTTATCTTATTGACTCACTTTGAAGAGAAGATGGATGCTCTTGGTTGCTGTGGATGCAATGCTGTGTTTTGAGGAGAATAAAATATCAGAGGAAGTGAGTAAGGAGATACGAGATGCGTGAAAATAAATTAGAGCATTTTCAATTTTTTACTGTTTACTTTTCTATTTACAAATTTGTTAGTAGAATTAAAAATAAAATCGTAATTGAAATTTATTATCAGGATTGAGAATGCCAATCCGGTGGGGGTGAGGGGAGTGTCAATCTCATTTCTCAATCTCAAATTAGTGTATGACCCACACATTCTCACTCTCATTTTAAAATAAAAATGGGTAAGTAAATGTAGGGTTGATTTCAATTCTCAATTCTCATTTTCCACTCTTGGTAAGTAAATATGCCACGAGTATTTTCCTTAAAATACTTCCTTCGTTTACCTTCAGTAACCCGGCATTTAGCACAGCCACCGGTCAAGTCACGTGGGTTGTTGTGATAAGGCAATAAATATCAAGCAAACCAGAATCCCAAATTCCCAATGCAGTTCTCTAGAAGTACTATTATTAGGAAGAAACAAAAATGAGAGAAAAAAATGTCAGTTTTTTTTCCTTTTGTTTTCTAATCACTTTAAATTCTCTTTTACTAAATCGCCGGCAACACAGGTGAAATGGACCATGCTCATTTAAAGCCGCCCCCAACTAATTTCCACTCAACCACCAAAAGATCTATATATATATATATATATATAATTCACATCTCATTTTCATTAACTTTCACACCTTTTTCTCACTCTAATTACAAAACCCAAAATCTGATTTTTCAAGTAAATTAATAGTCATCAAATAAACCAAAAGCTAGCTACTTCCAAGCTACACAAAGCTATGAAAGTATATATAACATAAGATAGAGTCCACATTAAAAGAAAGCCTAGAAATTTTTTTTTCCCTCTAAAAAAGGAACAAAATGGCTTCCTGTTTCATTACATCTATCTCCTCCCAAATCACTCTCATCACTATCTTGATCATCACCCTACATTCTTCCTCTTCCTCCATTGCCATATCCAAGACAAACCCACTTCCCTTCAAGAAAATCTATGCCTTTGGAGACTCTTTCACTGACACAGGCAACACAAGGTCAGTTTCTGGTCCTAGTGGTTTTGGCCATGTTTCAAACCCCCCATACGGGATCACGTTTTTTCATCGCCCCACGAACCGATACTCCGATGGGCGGCTGGTGATCGACTTTGTGGCGCAATCACTGGCATTGCCTTTCCTGCCACCTTACAAAACCGTCAAGGGAAATTCTCCTCATGGGGTCAACTTTGCCGTTGCAGGGTCAACAGCCATAGAATATGACTTCTTCGTTAAGAACAATCTTACCCTTGATATAACCCCTCAGTCTATTCAGACTCAGCTTCTTTGGTTCAATAAGTACTTGGAGAGTTTGGGGTGTAAAAATCTTGATTGGAGATGTGAAGCTGCGGAATTTGATGATTCTCTCTTCTGGGTTGGTGAGATTGGAGTCAATGATTATGCTTACACAGTTGGATCTACAATCTCACAAGATACTATTAGAGAGCTTGCAGTTGGACGTTTCACAGGTTTTTTAACGGTAAAGTTCTAACCAAGATTAGTATTTTTCTTCTCGTTACTGCAAAAGCATTAGTACTAGTTGAGAGCTGTCATGGAACACCAACATTTATGAGTGAAAAATGACGTTTCACTTGACAGTTTGATTGGTATTTTTGGATTAATTAGTGTATTTTTGGATTAGGCATGTATAGTATTTTTCTTAGTAGATTATTGCCAGTACAAGTCTATAAAAAGTTCAGCTAAAAATGGAATTTCACTTGCCGCTTTAATTGACATATTTAGATTAGTTCAAGTTAATACGTTTTATTCTCAGCAGATTATGAAGTTTATAAGGTTTAGTATTAGTAAAAGTTTATAAATACTTAAATGAAAATAAATGACATATTACTTGTCACTTTAATTAACATGTTTAGATCAGTACAAGTTAAGGCACGTATAGTATTCTTCTTAGCAGATTATTAAAGTTTGTAAAAATTTAAGTATTAGTTTAAGTTTATAGTGAAAAATGACATTTCTCGTCACTTTAATTGGCATTTTTAGATAAGTGAAGTTATAGTATTCTTCTGAGTAGATTCTCAAGTCTATAAAAGTGTACCATGTTTCATTTCTGTCCCATATAATTTTCAACTTTTAAATTATCTCTTGATGTATCGATTTCAATAATTCAATACTTAGCTTATGGAACTCACACATTATGTTAAGAAACCGACATATGCAAATCCAAAAACAGTCCTCTAGTACCTCCAAGAAAACAACCATTCATAACTTCATTTCCACATGTTTTCTCTTGTCATTTGTTTTTTGCAGGCCTTGTTGAACAAAGGTGCAAAGTACGTTGTGGTCCAGGGCCTTCCAATGACAGGCTGCTTACCGTTGGCCATGACACTGGCTCCCGAAGACGACAGAGACGACATAGGCTGCGTAAAAAGCGTTAACAACCAAAGTTACACTCACAATCTAGCCATCTTAAACAAGCTCAAAGACATCAGAAGACAATTCCCACACGCAGTTATAACGTTCGCGGATTATTGGAGCGCGTATCGCAGGGTCATGCAAAATCCGGGCCAGTTTGGCATGACTGAGCGCTTCAAAGCCTGTTGTGGCTTGGGCGATCCTTATAACTTTGAAGTGTTTACCACATGTGGAACTCCTTCAGTTAAAACTGCCTGTAAAAACCCATCTCAGTATATAAATTGGGACGGTGTTCATCTCACGGAAGGCATGTACAAGGTTGTCTCGGATATGTTTCTCAAGGGAAGGCTTAGTTACCCTCCTTTCAATTACTTGTTGGACAAGAAACTTCGTCAGGGATGAGACGTTTTTGCCACTAGATCAGCTTAATGAACTGCTATTTCTTTGTTTTTTCGTTTTAGTTAGTTTACGACTAGAAATTCCAAAAGAGTTGAGTGGTTACAATATTTGAATTTTTGTTCATTGTTGAGTTAAACATCATTACTGGTTTTCACATTCTTGTCGAACATGGCCAATAATATTGTCTAATTTTCTTGCCGCTAAGGCCAGTTTCTGAATTCTGGTTGTTGAATCTGGTCTCACATCATTAAAAAAAATAAGTAGACCAAACATTTATCATACAATATTTTTTAAGAACCTAAAAATTATAATCCCATCCAAGCACCTACCTAATATGAGACCAAATGCGCCTCATACCACTTAATAGGTTGATTTATAGAATGGAACATATAGATATTTTGCTTCCAGACACTTTTGACTGTAAAAGTGAATCTCTCTGCTTGACTAGAAAATATTTATAGGACGTTTAGTTCATGATTTTAGAACTATGATTCATGATTTTAATTTTTAAAATTTTAATTTTTTATAAAAAAAAAAATACTGTAAAAAATTAAAAATTATGATTCAAAATTAAAAACAAACATCTCATTAAAGACCCCATTTTTCTATAAATACTCAAATCTCTGCAGTAAAAAATGGGCATGAATTGGCTGCTCTCTGCCATGCCAGTTTAGTATAGTACCATAACCATTGTCAGAAAGTTGGTCCAGACTCCGAAGGCCCCCCGCTACAATTAGCATCACATGTGTGGCAGCTGATATTCAAACAAGTAATTAAGGTCTTATTCATTTTATAATTTAAATTATATTATTATAGTATTTTTTTTCATAAAATTTTAAATTCACAAATTGTAAAATAAACATACAATAATTTTCGTAAAAATCATGGTACGTCATAAAAATTGAGATGTACCATGCAGCTCAAATATCAGTCAGTAGATGATGAAAAGAAAGGATCTCAACTGTTTTATCGTTGTAAAAACAGTTATCAACTTTTAAATGAAAAACTTTGACGACTCTTTTTTGTTTTCTTATTATTATTATTATTATTCAACGTAATAGTAATGTATGTATTAAATCACACTAAAGAAACCAGTAAACATCTTAAATCACCATCTTTCTTTAATCCAATGTAAGTACTTGTATAGTCCATGTAACACATGCTTCTAGACGAAGAAACTTGTATATGTGACAGCACACAGATTTCCAAGGTATTTATTCCTTACTTTCATTCACTACTGACGAAGAAACTTGTATTTGCAGGATTGCTGTCAAATTTTTGCTAATAAATACACATCTTGCCTCATTTAGACGTTATGCAATCTATCGAAATCTTTACACAATAACATAGAGATATATATATATATATATATATATATATATATATGCAGCCACATACTCGCACATATTATATTTGTTACTCTTGATCATTTATTTGCAGTTTTTGATGATCTCTTGCCAGGACAGCTTTACTTATAAAGAGCCAAAAATCTACAAGTACTAGTAGGTGGAATAGTTTATCTAGTTTTGTTGTTTGTCAGCCTTCAGGTATTAACAAAGAAAAAGGACGTTTTGTTAGACTCCACATTTATTCTTGCTCGTTTCATGAAAAACAGGAATAGGGAAAATGTGTGAACTAGCTCACCTTTTTGGAAAACATTGTGGCACTGGTCCCAAACTTTAAAAAGTGTTGAGTTTAAGCTCCAAACTGTTAAAATGTTCCACATGAGTTCCTAGAGTAAAAAAGTATCCATGACATGAAATTTGACCAGTAAATATCATTAATTTTCCCTCCAAGTTGGGTGTCCTGTTTAAATCCGTGAAATTTGACCATTAAAGCTTCATTCAATTCGTTAATTCGAGTTTTTAATTCGAATTGAGATGTAATTTTATATGATAGCTTTTAACTATAGCAAAAAAATTTAATGTGACTTTTTATGAGAATTTTTAACTGTAATAAAGCTGGAATTAAATCTTGAATTAGTGAAATGAGCAGGACCTAAGTATCGTTAAAGTCAGAGAGAGGGCCTCTAAAGTAATGAAAACAATTTTCGGACTTAAGACGGAAAGACTTCAAGTGGTGCATTGTTTTCGTTACTTTGAGGTTCACGCGGTATATCTTAACAGTTAGGACCGAAACCGCAATTTCACCTTTATTTTCTTTTTCTGTAAAATGAAATCAACTGTCTGTTTCATCGAAGTGAGTTGATCATGCACTTAATGAATCTGGAATACTCCATATTTAAGATCAGAATACTTGACTCCCACTTACTATGAGCCTCTTTCTATACTGAGAAGAGCAATTTATCTCTTGCACAGAAACAATCTTTATTATATACTGCATGGAGTGGTAACAAACGTTTCACAATTTGAAGACCCCAACATACTCGCTAAATACATGTGATGGTGAGCAATTTTCTCCCTTTCTATACATCCAATTTTCATGATGAGCTGTTAGATCAAAATAAGTAATCATAATACATTATGAATAGAGCATCAGGAATATCCTTAGGCAGGCTGTTAATGAAAAGATAAAACCTTTGAACATCCTCTTTCAATGCACTTTGTGTGTCAACCACATCATTCCCACATGTCAGGACCCATAAATCCTCGGAATTCACTCTCTTTAAGCTTCCGCGGCAGAATGGGCAGGACTCTGACCTTGTGTTCCTGCAATGTAAGAAAAAAGAATGCGTTGACACTAGGGCGTCAATAGAGCCCGTTTGGTTCACAGATTTGAACATTAAGAGGTTGTTCTTTTGCAACGAAATTCAAAAAAAATTTAAACTCGAATTACAATTTTATTCAAGTTCATGTTCTTTTATAAAATTTGAGTTTGAACTCGAGTTTGGTACTAAACTCGAGTTCAAGTATCCCATTCAACTCGAGTTCATAAACTCGAATTCAAGTTAATAAATAATATTTTTTCTATTCTTAAAAATACCACAACTTTTTTGTTTTAATTCTGATTGAAATGTTTTTTTTTTTCTATGCATTCACAACAAAAAGACAATAAAACCCCACCTATATACCCTATTAAAATTTTTCATCACCATTGAGTTTTTATTAAAATACTATCTAAATACAAATTTAAATTTTGACCCACTTAAACACAAATTCAAATAGATTCTCAATTCAAATCATAACTTAAATGTGCATATCCAAACACAAACTCAAGTTATAACTCAAACTCAACTCAAGATCATCACTCAAGTCATCCTAACTTAAAAATGCAAAAGAACAATCCCTAAGTTTGAACGGAAATTCAATTTTGTTGTGAGAGAAAAGACTGTAGCAAAAAAAGTTCGAGTAAGTGTTATAAATTTATGTTTTTAAATTTTAGTCTTTATTTTGGGGAATATGTTGTAATCTATCCTCTTAAGAGCATTTGATGAAAATTTATATATTGAGGGCATTATTCTAGCGTATTGTGATATTTGATGTCGGCATTCCTCAAAAACTCTATCAATGGAGGTCGACCTTACCTCGAACGAGCCTACATCTATCTTTTATTTTCTTTCAGATACGGATTTGTATCTATTGGCATCTTTACATTTGCGTGAGAGTGAGATCAAAATGAAAATGTGAACATGAAGAGAAAAGTAATGTTGCATATTTACCAGTCATGGTAGCAATTGATGCACATGGCATGGCAGCAGTTGGGCAAAACCATTTTGGTACAAGGCTCCAAGCAGATCCCACATTCATCTTCCCTCTCCAAATCTGCATCAGAGATCTTCCTCACCGCCATCTCCAAGTTGTGACTCCTCCTCTCGTGAGTCGTGTCCTCCGACAAATCACAATGGAGACGCTTAAGTGACGGTAGTATAACAGCTGCAGTTTCAATTTGGAAAGTGCATAAGCAAAGGTCAATAATAAGTTGCCAAAACAGGATAGAAAACGAGACTTCTAAGGAAGTTCAAACCGAAAATCAAATTCTAAGGAAAACTAGGATTATCAAAGGCTACTAAAGACGAGAATAAAGAAGAAATTTATACTTAACTATAGAATTCACCAATGGTTGCTTTTCTTCCATACGAAGAAACATTTGGCCTCCCATCTGACCGGACCTGAAGACATAAGGGGCACGTTTAGAACTCGTTCTAAAATGATTTTATTTTTTGTATGAAAATAAAAAGACGGAAATCATTTTTGAAAATGCGTTTGGTAGTTTTATCAAGAGATTCTTTTCAGTATAAAAAAACTCATTAATGTCTTTCTCTCTCTGTTCGAGAGAGGAGAAAACGAAAATAAAAAATGAAAACGGATTAAAAGTCTTTTTTCATTTTCTCTCATTTTACACTAAACTAAAAAATCGTTTTCATTTCCGTTTTTCGTTTTTTTACGCCAAACGCCGTTTTAAAAACGTTTTCATTTTTTATTTCTCGAAAAACATAAAAAACAAAAACGGGATCAATTCCAAACACAGCCAAAGAGATCAATTTTCAAGAACTTTAATTCATCCTTAAATGAAGAGAGAAAAAAAAGGAATAATCTTTTTTTTTTTTAAAAAGACAATAGAAATGCATGAACAAGAAAGCAAAGAAATTCACCTTATGTACAATAATGTAAAAGAGGTTTATATAACTAGAGAATAGACATGAAGAAGAACAGTCCATCCATTGCCGCAAAAACATGAAAATTGGTGCTAGTTTATTATATACCAATTTCATCCGAAGAGAAATACCTCCTTTGCCTCGTGGAATAGAACCTGCCCTGAAAAACACATTTGGTGTCCCCAAAAAAAAAAAAAATCACTTGAATAATGTCAAATGATTTATTAAGCTGTGGCTGAAAAGGCCCAATTTTTGAAATTTGAAATCATATGGAAGTTAACTACATTATGCTTTTTAACATTACACATAATCAGAGAATCATCAGAAGGAAAGGAAAAAAAAAAAGAAGAAGAATTGATCTTTCTACTAATTGTCCATGTAAACTCTAAAGCACATTAATCATTAAAAAAATAAGGAAAAAAAAAAAGCAGTTAAGCTCATGAACAGCGGTCAACATTTTAAAAAATCATACTAGAGGAGCAGAAAAAAGCTTTCAAAAGAAAATTGTAATTATTCCTAAAATTTAATAAGTCAAAAGCAAAAAATAACACAGATAGAAAACCCATCATAATGATCACATTACCTTACTGCATTTAAACATGATCTTCTCAAAAACAGAAAAAACCCAGTTCCAAAATCAAAGAGAAAAATAAAACAAAAATAGAAAAAAAAAGTGCCAGAGAGAGAAGATGAGAAACTCACAGCATATTGGCATGTTGAATATCGGCCTCAAGAATCTTAAGGGAGTCTTGGTAAGATGGCCTAGCAGCAAGTTGCTGATAACACCCCAACATTGTTGTTGTTGTTTTTTTTTTTTTTCCCCTTCTTCAAAAACGGATACTTTAATGGAGAAAATAAACAAAAATTCAGAGACAAAGCAAAAGCCACAGCCTAGAAGGCCCTATTAAGGCACACCCACTTTGAAAAATCTTTGGGACTTTGACAAGGGAAAGGTCCTTTTTATTTTTATTTTTTTTGGTGGAGTGAAGAAGAAGCTAAGAACAATAAAGAGCTTGTGGGAAAATGGAGGGAGAGAGAAAGAAAGAGTTTTTTTTGGTCTTCCTTGTTATGTTTACAACTTTGATAAAACTTTCTGCTAAGATGTTATTTTGAATTTAATTATCCACTAGAACTCAATTTGACCGTTTTGACCTTTTTTATTATTATTATTAAATACTTGCTTCATTTGACTGCTTTCATTGCTTTGGTTGAGTGGTTATGAGTAGGTATTTCGTGCTTCCAATCAAACTCACCCACCTACGAAGTCAGAGAATGATTGAAAAAGAAAAGGGTGAAGTGGGAAATAGCCTTTTATAAATGGTATGATATATATATATATATATATATATATATATTTGGGTAAGTTAGACCGTGACAAAATTTCTTCCAGGAACAAAATGACCATGACCAAATTTGATGAATACGAGATATATCAGTTTCGTAGCATAATTAAATTTAATAAATCTGAAATTTATTGAGTTTCCGGAAAGCCTCATATTAAACAGTCTACATCCTAGCACAAACAATAATCAAGAGTGTGATAAAACCCTCATCGGCCAACGTTCTCCATTTGTTGTAGCTCCACGGTCTGCGATTGCCGAAGCCCTGCGACCACTGTCGTTAGCCCCCTCTCTTCGTCGCGCCCAACGCCATTAAGCCTACTCCCTTGCACCCATCGATGTTGGCTCGAGCCCCTCATGTGCCCATTGCCAATCCTCAAGCCACCTTCGAGCGCCACATCGTTGTAGGTTCTTCACTTTTCTCGTCATGACTCAATTTTTGAGAGCTTTTTATAAAAATCGTTTATATTTTGTTGGAAGGGAAAAAGGTAGTTACGTTCAATAATTTTTTTTTTTTAATTCATTCACACTAAAAATTAGCGTTCTGCTAAATAACAAAGTAGCCGTTTGCTACTATTTCTAAAAAGTAAAAATTACAGTAAAATTAAAATATTGTAAATGTTCTGGTTTATTTTAAGAATAATAAGATGACATATAGTGCTTCGAATAACGTTTTTCATGTTTTATGATATAAAGTTGCGAAATAATTTTAGTTTATTCACCTATTTGTATGGGTGAATGAGAGAAATAGCAGAAATGGATGGAGTAATTAAAATTTATAGTAAATATTAATTTTAAACTTAATAAAGAACGTCTGGTTCATTAATTAAAATCATAAAATTAAAATTATTTTTAATTTATGTGTATTTTTTATAAAAAAAATATTATAATAAATCATAAATTATAATTCAAATTAAATACGAATCTCCTTATTAAACACACCCTAAATGTCATAAAATAGTCCTTCTCTGATTTTCTGATTTTCCAACTCTTTCTCTCTCCTTCACTCTGTGATCTCTCGGATGCCATCCCTCTTTCTCTCTCCTATCTCTCGCTTTCTCTCTCCTTCACTCTGTGATCTCTCGGATGCCATCCCTCTTTCTCTCTCCTATCTCTCGCTTTCTCTCCTCACGTTCTCTATCTTCTGAGAACGTGGTTCACTGTCATCATTGCTCAACCTGGGGACGATAATGATCGTCGCGAGTCGTCGGAATTGTCGACGGAGAAGGCGATTTGTTCATCGGAGGTCGTTAGAAATCAGCCATCTGTTCGTTGGAGAAGACGAGCAGTGGCTGGGCAAAAAAGGATTCAGATCTCGATGCTCCTCCCATCGCCGAAGAAGATAAGTGCGTTGGGTGAGAAAGGAAAGAGAGACTAGCGCTTCATTTTCGCTCTTATGGTAAATGATCATTTACCAGTCAAACAAAAGACTTTAAAGTTTTAAACAGTAAGTATTTTTTGGTAAATGAACGATTTATATGGTAATTGTTTACTAAAATACAGAAATAGTTTTATGAAAATACATCAATTGAGTTTATACAGTGAATAAAGAATTTAGTAATGATTGTTTACTTTATTGATTCAAATTTTTAATTTGAGTTAAGATATAACTCTACATGAAAAATTTTTATTATAATAAAAAATTTTAAATATGACTGTTTTTAAAAATTTTTTACTGTAATAAAATTTAAATCGATAAAATAAATAAAATTTAAATAAATATAATATTTACCACATGTATTTTCTCTCATCTCCATCGACAAACTCTTATTCTCTTTCTCATCATCACTACAACTCTTCTAAGAGAAAAATTGGTACACCATATGTTAAAATTTTAAACTCTTATTCTCTCTGTCATCATTACTAAACTCTTCTAAAGAGAAAAATTAGTACACTACATACTAAAATTTTAAAATAGGTTATAAATTTTTATTTATCTATCATTTACTAAGGTTTTAAGCGGTAAGTATTTTTTAGTAAGTTGGTGATTTACATGGTAAATTTATTGTTTACCAAAATACAGAAATAGTTTTACGGAAATATAAAAATTGAATTTGTATAATAAATGAAGAATTTATTAAATAAATGCAATATTTACCACATTCATTTTCTCTCATTTCTCTCTCATCTCCATCGACAAACTCTTATTCTCTTTCTCATCATCACTACAACTCTTCTAAGAGAAAAATTGGTACACCATATGTTAAAATTTTAAAGCAGGCTATAAATTTTTATTCATTTGTCATTTACTAAACAATTAAAACTATTATGCTATTTACTATAAAATATTTGAAATTTTTTGCTAGACAAGTAAGTTTTTTTTTTTTTTTTTTTTTTTTTTTTTTGTTTACCAGCGACCAGTGGCCACTGAGGCCTAATGAAGACCCAATCTTGAGCCCAAATTCTCCGAGGCCTAATAGCCCATCAACCCTCTTTCAATGTCAAAGCTTTTGTCCGGTAAAAAGCTTCTTTTTTATTTTTATTTTTTATAATAATAATAATTTGGGTTGGCGTGCTACAAAGGATTGTACTCGTAGAACAGAGTGTTGCTCAGAGAATGGTTCAGAGTAAAGACTAACCAGAATCATTCAAGCGAGCTTCTGATCATTTACGATCGTAAGTATTTCCCACAGTGTTTTTCTTTTTTCTTTTCGTTTTCTAGAGCTATTTCTTCATAATTTACGTACCAGAAACTTTTTTTCTGTAGTTTCAACCATGCATGTAAAGCTTTTCTGTAGTTTCTCTATTTTCTAGGGCTCATTTTGGGTTCTTCAACTAGAAAAAGTTGAATTTTTTTTTTTGTTTTCCTAGTCCATTCGGGTTCGTTATCTCAATAAAAGTTGAAAGCTTGGTGAGTTTTGTTTACTGACATTGTGTTGGGGTCGAAAAAGGTCAGAGCTTGGTGTTTGGTTCGTGAGAAAATGGTCTGTAAGGTGTTTTCTGAGTAGCATTGTTATTCCAAGGCTTATATTGGGTTGATCAAGCTGAAAAGTTTAAAACTTTTTTTGGTTCGTGGGAAAACAGTTTCATGGGTATTTTATGAGTGGCATTGTTTGTCCAGGGCTTTATTTTGGGTCCATTAAGCTGAAAGGTTGAATCTTTGTTTGGTTCCTGGGAAAATAATTGCTCAGTAATCATTTTTTTTTGGGCAACCCAAAGCCATGCAAGTTTGATTAGTTGTACTCCAGACAAAAGCGTATTGGCAGGAAACATCCTCGTACCTTTTTAAGGAAAAGCAAAAAAAAAAAAAGGATGGCAATTTAAATTATAAATACTGATACTAATATAGGCATCATCAGGTTGGGTTTTCACTTTTCCATGAAATTAAAGAATATGGGTTTAATAAGCAGTTTTTCTGGTTAAATGGGAAATATGTAATTCTTTATATATTTTTAAGGGAATTTTTGTTTTATCGTTTTTTTTTGTTTTTTTTGTTGTTATATATTTTTAAGGGAATTTTTGTTTTATCGTTTTTTTTTGTTTTTTTGTTTTTTTTGTTGTTTTTTTTTAAGGTGTTCTCTTGCTTTCTAATTTTAATGAATAAATTGTTAAGGCTTTATATTGTGAAATGTCATACTAAACGACATAAATTTCTATTGTTAGCAGGAATAACTTTGTCTCATTTGGTTGATGCTCTTTTATTTTAAAACCATGACTTTTTGAAGCTTGGTAATGAAATCTTGGGCTCATTTTTGTTTATGCTTCTTCTTCTTCTTTTTATTTTTTCTCTTTTCAAGATATTTTCCTTGTGGATTGACATGTTTTTCTCTTATGCTATGTTATTATTTCTCGTATGTTAAAAAGAGAAGAAGAAATACTATTTGATATCTTTGTTTTCTGTTCAAAAAAGAAAAATATTATCATTTCTTGTGTTTCTGAAATAGTTTAATCAGTTAATTAATTGTTTAATTTATATATTATTTTCAGTGATCCAATTTTAAAAGACTGATCGGAGAGGTGATGGATTGCAATGCTAAATCTTGTGCAACATGCACTCACACTTGTTGGTTGGTTCATAGGAGGAAGAGCTCATCACCTGTCGTTGCGTCTTTTTTCAAAGTCATGCTTGGCGATGACTTTTCTGAAGTCTTGGTACGATAAAACCCGGTGGTTTTCTTTCCACTTCTCTTTTAGCCACTTTTAATGAATGCTTATTACTTAGAAGTTATGTGTTATTTGCAAAGTCTCTATTCTACCTATGTCATTTTATTACAGTTCTTGCCTCCCAAGTTTGCTAGTGAGATGTCGGGATTGGTTGGAGAAAGTGCCTCCCTTGAAGATGCAAATGGGAAGCAATGGGAAGTAACGGTTTCGAATGTTAATGGCTTCCTTGCTTTTCATCAAGGATGGAGTAACTTCGCATCGAGCCATGATCTGGAACTTGGAGATTTCGTCGTGTTTTTTCAGCTAAAGCAATCACTTTTTGTAGTTAAGATTTATGATAGAACGGCATGTGAAAGAGTGAGCTTTGGTAGGAAATGCTTTAAGAGGAGAAAGATTAAGGACGACAATAGTTCCACTGGGAAAGATGGTCCACCACGTACCTCTACTGCGTCCTGTTCTGATGTCGAAGTGTGCTGTATGCTCAATAGAAACTTGGGAGAACAACAAGAAGAGGATCGGATATGTAACTTTGACTTGTCTCTTTTCGAAACGTGGAGCTACTCTGGCAGGGAGGGAAGCAACAAAGCCGATGCAACGAGCGTGATATCTCCACATCAAGTAGTTCAATCGATAGCAAGGGGAGCGTTGCATTCACAAAAAGATTCTTGGATCACCCCAAGTTCTTGGCATCGCTTGCCAATGCCTGTGACTGCTAAAGGTTTGAAGAAAACATTAACAATTACATTCGAAATTTCTCGAGTTGTGTACAATGGTTCGGTAAAAGTGTTTCTTTTCTGATCATTAGCAGGAAACAATCAGAGTAAACTTTTACTATACCAAAAACAGTGTTCAAACAATGACACCTGTCAATGGGCACAAAAGAAATTTGGTGGTGTTTCAGACGGTTCCATTGTTCACACTTCCATTGGAGTTAAAAACTGTCAATCTGGTTTGTGTTCCTTCAAATTGCTACGTGTTCTTTCTGTTTGAGACTGTTTGGCACCTTTTATGTGATGTCTCTAATAAGATCTCTCTTTTTGTGTTTAACAGTTAAAAGGATGAACGTTGTTAAAGAAGAGCCCATGGAGATTATATCAGATCCCTGCAGTCAAGAAGCCATCCAAAAGCTTCCTGGTAAATGTTTTTTTTTTTTTTTTTTAAATTTATTTTTATTTTAAAGTTTTTCATAATAAATAGTCTGGATAATGACTCTAGTCAAAGTGCTAAGAAACCTCTAACACTCCCTCATCAATTGGAACTAAAGATTGTCAATCCGGTTTGCGCTCCTTCCAATTGCAACATTTTCTTTTCTCTTGAGATTTTTTGGTATCTTTATCATCTGATATCTTAAACAAGATTTCCAATTTCTTTCATAAGGCAGGTAAAGTAATGAAGGTCACTAAAGAAGATCCCGTAGGAATTAAGTCAAAACCCTGCTCTCAGAAAACTATTCAAAATGTTTGTGGTATGTTTCGTGGATTGTATTATTGCAACATTTTGTGATGCAGGGCCAACAGTGTAGCTTCATTTGTTTAACTGCTTCTCATTAAAAGCCTTTTTTTTTATTTTTTATTTTTATTTTCTTTTCTTCTGTGTGTGGAACTGATAAGAAACTTTATGTTTTTGCATGCACATAGATATGTTCACAAATGAACCAAAATATCTTTTTGTTAGAAAATGCAGGGGGGTCATCGAAGCTCACCGAAGGCGAGTATTTTCGCACTATTAGCATGAGTGTGAGACAGGATGGTAGAGCTTCTCAAGTAGCAAAAGCTGATATGGTTGGTCAAGTGGTGACTAGTGATGGAGTTGCTCATGTAGTGAAAACTGATGAAGTGGCGAAAACAGATACGGTTGTTCAAGTGGTGAAAACTCAAGTGGCGAAAACTGGAGGAGTTGCTCCAGTGGTGAAAGCCGATAGTGTTGTTCAAATGGTCAAAGCAGAACCTGTTAATTTAGTTGGAACTGAAAATGGTCAATCTGGTTTGTGCTCCTTCAAGCTGCTATGTTTCCTTTTCCATTGAGATTGTTCAATATTTTTATTATCTGATATCTTAAATAAATTTATTTTAATTGTGGTTTTCATTAAACAGCTAAAGTTATGAAGGTTGTAAAAAAAGAGCCCGTGGAAAATAAATCAGCTCCCTGCAGTCAGGAGATCATGGGAAAACTTTGCGGTGAAGTCTGAAATATTCTATCCTTGCAACACTTAGTGATGCAGATTGTAGGCTTAGCCATACTTATTTAACTGCTTCGCATCCAAAGCTGAGTGTTTGTGCGTGTGTGCGTACATATGTATGCAAATGATCCTAAAGTACCTTTGTAATCAAATGAAATACAGGGGAATCTTCAGGGGTCACCAAAGACTCGCTTCTTGGTAGTACAGTCCCTCAAGTGGCGGTGAAAACTGAAGGCATTGATTTTGATCGAAGTTTTCCCACCTTCTCCCCTTGGACTAGAGTTCCTCTAGTGGCGGTGAAGACTGAAGTCGTTGATTTAGATGAACGTTCTCCCACATTCTCTCCCTTGTTGGCTATAGGCGGTGAATCTTTTATTGTATGTCGATCTCTCTCCTTATGGATTTTTTCTTTTCCTGTGCAGATTGCTATTCTTGACTCCTAATCTAGTTTTTTTGGCTGAAGTAATGTTATAGTTTTGCTGTTTGCTTTTGTTTCAAAGACCTTGGTATTTCTTTTGTGAGATGGCATATCTGATGATCTCATGCGCGTATGGAATTTTGCTTTGTTTATTCTTGGTTTTTTCATCAATATCTCTGTGACACATCTCACTCCCACGTCTGATATAATAGGCTAAACAAGTAGAGGTTAAACCCAAGTTGAAATTTTTTACCTTTCAATTTTTGGATGAAGGCATGAAGATGCAATTTTCTCTAAGTAGGGTACAAAATTATTGTGAAGGCGCAAAGTTGGCGCTCTCGTGTGGTGTTTCTGAGTTCTAAAATACTGTATTTTGGGTGAATATTTGAATTGTGGTGTCTGAGTGATTGAGTGGTTTCTTTTGGTTTCGTTTAACTAGCTAGTTTGACCTCCCTTCTGATACAAATGCAGGAGTTGCCAGAGTGTTTGCCATTTCCAGTTGTGAGGGGCAGAGCAGATGTAGAGAGGAAGACGGTGTACATTCGAGATTCTGCCAAGAGATTGTGGCCAGTAAACTACCATGAGAAACCAGGCTTGACGGTTTTAGTGTCTGGTTGGGCGGGTTTGAGCAAAGCAAATCGCATCAAGTCTGGAGATCAGTGTTGTTTTACTCTCGAAGTTGAATCTGACGGTATATATGCACTCACTGTAGTTCCAAAGTAAAAAAGATACAAAGTTCACATTTCCCTTTGCAAACAAGTACTTCGTCTTCGTGTAAGAACTGAAAAATAGTGTAAATAATCTAATTACTAGGTGGCAGAAACTAGAAAGTTATCATCAAACCCTTTTGATATTTTCTATCACATGTGAACAGCCTTAGTTTCTGAATGAATGAAAATCAATTACTAGTATAATTTGCTTCATATATTTTCGTTACTAAATCTGAAGATTGTGAAGAAGTTAATTACTTCTGGGATTTAGCTTGACATTAAAAAGAAGATAAATAAGAACTACGTTTCAACCTTCTGAAATGGAAAACTAAGATGAAATTAACCAAGCAAACTGATCCACTATCAATGTCTGTACAAGTTAGACGTCGAAAACTTGAAATATTCTAAAGATTCCTTGCTAACACACGAGCTCTTGAGCTCTCAAGTCAAACCTTGTGCACCCATTGCTAATAGATCACACATTGTTGTCTACAAATCTAAAAGAGTTTCCCTAGATTATCTGCTACTCATAAAAAGTCCTATTTTTGCTTAAAACACCAAACTAACATTGACCCTAAAAGCTTTCATATCATTTCAATTGTTGGGTCTGCACCAGCTGAGGCAGAAACCTGGTTATGCTCTTTGGCAACCATTCTTCTCATCTTCATCAACCACTCGATCAGCCGTACAATCCAATCATAGAGGCTAAGAGCAATGTAAACCCCGATCCCGGCAATGATTCCATTGGATATGGAGTATGTAAGCGGCATGAGAAGTATGGTCACAAAAGCCGGAACCGCCTCTTTCATGTTGCCCCAATCTATGTCGTTCACCACCTTCATCATCATCACCCCAACCATGATTAGTGATGGCCCTATTGCCCAGGGAGGTACACTTGATAATAAAGGAGTGAAAAACAATGAAAAGAAGAAACACAAGCCTACAACCACAGCTGTTAGTCCTGTCCGACCGCCTTCTCTTATCCCGGCCATCGATTCTATGTAGGTTGCTGTTGTCGAGACGCCAAGCGCGGCCCCCACAATCGTTGAGCCTGCATCAACAATGTAGGCCAAGTATTCGCCTTCAAAGCTTCCATGCTCGTCGACAAACCCTCCAATTTCGGCCATTGTGTACAACGTACCTGTTGTGGCCAGAACATCTACATATAACAAGGTTGCCAAAGCCACCCATACCTCACTTCTATTGAAGTGTGCAAAGGTAATGACCCCTGCTGTTGTTTGGATTCCATGAAAATCCACAACTTTCTTGAAGTAGTTAAAATTTGTGTCACCAAGTGGGTTACCAGGAAAATATGTGAGAGGTGTGTTTCTAAACCATGATATAAATGTAACAAACAGAATACCATAAATCATGCTACCTTTAACATCCTTCATTAAGCCAAAGCTAGTGATTAGAAATCCAATTGTCCCCAGCCAGAATTTTGGGCTCCTCATTTTCCCACCAAGGCACTCACCTGTTTCCGGGTTTATACTAGTGCAAGCAGTGACGGTCACCAAATTTGATGGATCCGGCCCAACAAGGCCCATACCCTGGTGGGCCTGAAGGCCCACAAAAGCAATGAAAAGCCCAATTCCCGCTGCACAAGCAAGCCTAACTTGACGAGGAAAGACTCTAGCCAGCTTAGCTCGGATCCCCAGGGCAGACAAGGCCATGAACACGCACGCCTCAACCAAAATCACTGCTAGAGCAGTTTGGTAAGACATAGGCCCAGTTCCATGAAAGCCTACCATGTTATAGGCCATGTAGGCATTTGGGCCCATGGCAGGAGCCAGGCCCAAAGGTAAGTTTGCAAGGGCCCCCATAACAATAGACCCAACCATGGCTGATACAATAGTGGCCACAATGAGGTCACTCTTGGTCCTTGCAAGGCAAGCTTGGTAACCAACGTTTGGCTTGAGCATGCAATCATCATTTGTGGCCGTTTGGTTGGCCGGAAAAGTACAATCAGCGACGGAACATGTCCCGCCGGAGTCGGCGAGGATCGTGGCGTTGACGGTGATTATGTAAGCCATGGTGAGAAAAGTGGCTAGACCAGCCCTAAGCTCCTTTGTGAAGCTGCTCTTTCTTGCCTCTAACTTGAAGTACCTCCCAACAAAGCTCTTTGAAACCCCATCATTCAACGTCTTCTCTCCTTTCTGCCATGACTTCACTAGTCTCCTCCAAAACCCACTTCCCATTTTTGGACATAACTCAATTCCCATATTGCTCTCTCTCTCTCTCTCTCTCCCAACAAAGCTCTTTGAAACCCCATCATTCAACGTCTTCTCTCCTTTCTGCCATGACTTCACTAGTCTCCTCCAAAACCCACTTCCCATTTTTGGACATAACTCAATTCCCATATCTCTCTCTCTCTCTCTCTCTCTCTCTCTCTCTCTCTTTTATAGGCTATTTGGTGAAGAGAAAAAACAAGAAGGAATCTTTTGATCTCCTTGTATTAGGGACAAATGTGAGTCATGCCGGGTGAGATATAGATAAAGTGTGAGAAGAGTTAGGAGTTACAAGAAGCAACTTTATGTGTGTTTTAGAGAGAGAGAGAGAGAGAGAGAGAGAGAGAGAGAGAGAGAGAGAGAGAGATAGGTATACTATATAGTGCATATTTAGGTTATTATAGCGGCTTCTGGGTTTTGGAATAAAAAGGCATCTCGTTATCTGGCTTAATGTATATTTTATTTGTCTAATTGGAATCTAATGTAAAATAGAAGAAAATACAAAATACAAAATTCAAGTTGTGGTTACAAAGGGAAAAAAGAGCAAATACGGCTTGGAGTTTGAAAGTAGTTTTGAGTTTTGACTTGGCACTTACGCATGATGGTCCATTATGGTGTGGAGACTGGAGCCTGATGACATTAGACAAACAAGGACTCCTATATTGGGAAATCCTGTCTGATCGTATTGAAGATTTTTATGTTTTTTATTTCCTATAAATTCCTTTCCTGATTCCATTATAGCTACTGTCGATAGTTTTAGTTGTGTTGGAATAATATGACTAGACTTGGAAGTTCATTGGTGCTCTTCTTCAATCAATAATTTATTTAAATATGGTAAAAACACATACAATATATATATATATATATATATTTATATATATGAATAATGTTGTATATAACGTACTGGTAGTATTGAGCACCACACACTCATAAAATGTGGGTATTATACCATGCAATCCACAAATAATCGACTTACATTTTATTAATTGTGATGTTTAACGTCAGTAGTATCCCGACTGTTTTTTATATATACACGGAATATGCTATGTAACTCCCTTTCTATTCAATACATGCTTCTCTTAAGTTGACATGTGTATGTGGGTCTTATTTTTTTCTTTAAAAGAAAAAAGAGTTGAAAAATTAAGTGCTTTAATCTATAAAAGATTGACATATCATCAGAATGGGACTAAAATACCATAGAGACAAAAAGAAGTGCTCTATATGCATATACATACGGTTTTTTTTTTTGGGTCCCTATAATACGTAGAAGTTAGGTATAACATGCTACTTATTAGGTATAACATGCTACTTAACAATGACTTAAACGAGTAGAACAATATTTTTTCTCTTCTTGTTACATCCTTTCAAAATCACTATCACATAAAATAAATTATAAATGCAATGCTACACCCCAATTTCTACATATATGCATGGTTAGTTGCTAACATGTATATGTATATTGTGATTCTACGTAATTTCGGAATGCTAAAATTGATATTATTGCCACTTATCCACCCTTCGACAGTCTGATTTATGGGAAACACAAAAAAAAAAAAAAAAAAGAACCAAGTACTAGAATTTTTTTTACTAATAGACAGCTGTCTTATAAAGGTTTATTTCTTTTATTTAAAAAATATTTTATATGAATTGATATTTGGCATGCAGCTAGCTATGAAGATATGCTTAAACTTTTGTTTTGTTCTCTTATCTACCAAATTAGAACAAAATAATTGTATTTTGTTTTATAATTTGTTTAATGGGTTGGTATTTCATCATTGTCAAAATATAACTTTTTTTTTTGAATGGTTTGATACATATGACAACAACATAGATTATGAACATCCGATCTTGTCTGTAGTCACAACGGGCACCACAAAATCATAACATCTTTCCATGAAATTTCATATTGATAAAAAAATTTGGCTCAAGAATAAATTAAATTTGTTTTTGATTGTATCTATACTTTGAGTCGCTAAGAAATCGTTTTCTTCACTTTAGCAGCTAAAAAATTCCAAAGTCGAGATCTTTGAATGATCTGAAAAATATTTTTACAAAATTTCACAATCTAGAAGTTTGAAGGAATCTCATAAGACTTATGTGCGACCGTTATAGTGTTCCTTCTTAATCCGCAATTATCAATATGGCAGTTTTCTCCACCTTCTCCTTTTCCTTTTTTCCTAAGACCATAAATATTAAAATATCAATAGTGAGCATATATAGCCAGAAAAATAAAACTATAAAAAGTGCCTAGGAACTGAGAATATATAGGAGCAAATGATTATAAATTTGCAAAAGTAGAATACATTAAAAGCTGTGTTTAGCGCATGCCAATTAAACAAATAAGAACAATAATAAAAGAAACTATGCCATTGTCCCTAGTATAGTACCGTAGCAAGTTAATTAATCCCATTTTAATATGTCCAGCTAATCTGGTCCTTAATTTGGTGGACCTTAAGTTCTTAACAAAGCCAAGACCAAACAGAAATAGGGAATTATGCAGAATCAATGTGTTAATTGAAAAGCTAAATGAACATAGTTTCCCTCTTTTAAGTAAGGATTAAGTTTCTTTTCTCTTTTTAGCCAGTGTCCAGAATAGGCTGCCATCGTTTCGAACTAATCTCATGAGACTTATGCACCGTGAATTTTACAATAACTTGTTAATTTTACGTCAGTACTTGCAAACTTAAACGATTCATCGTATTCCTTCAAAATCACAAATTTATCGTAACTTTTACAACTTTATCATTGGAGTTTACAAGTTCTAACGTAAAATTTAATAAATTATTGTATCTCCCAATACGGTGCCGGGAAAAAGTGTCCCGACAGCATAAATGATTCCGTTTAACTTCACCAAATGAGCCAATTCTCTTATACATAGATGAAAAAGTAAAACTCCAATTTTTGTTTGGAACATATTTCTTCTTTATTTTATATAATGAATTGAGAGTATACCAGATTATTATTATTTTTTAATACAAGTCAGTGGCCAGTGATCTCTTTAATTAGAGACTAGCCAGGGGTGTAACTCTAGAAGCAAGAAAATATAAACAAAGTTAAATCATTTGCACGCGCAAGGAATGGCATTTTTTTTCCCCTATATAATACATTTCTAAACTTGAAATATCAGTGGGTTCTCCTTTTGAGAGACAAGGGCAGCAAAAAGTAAAGGATTTAATACATGTTTTAAAAGAAGAGAGAAAAGGGTACTAATATACTGAAGTGCTAAGTGTGGCAGAGCTTGGCTTTACTTAATCAAGACAAAAAGTTTATGAACCTTAATTGGCAAAACGCATCTTAAAAAGGGTACACATTTAGGTGGAATATTGAAGGCTCTTCTTTTTTAGTGGTTTCAATTTTGTTTATTTGAGGATGCACAGCACATTAACCCGATAGGGGTTCTAAATGAGGCCGTGAAATATCGAGTTCTTAAAAAGAGAAAGATGAAAAGATATTTTTATCGTTGCACTAATCACGGGACATTTAATATGTTTTTAATTGGGGGTATTTCATTCACACACGATGGATGTAGTGCTTTTACTAGAAGGGAGACATTCACCGTGTTTGGAATAGATCATGTTTTTATTTTTCATGTTTTTTGAGGAAGAAAAAATGAAAATGTTTCTCAAACGGCGTTTGGCGCAATAAAGACAAAAAACAAAAATGAAAACGATTTTTTAGTTTAGTGTAAAATGAGAGAAAAATGAAAAATAACTTTTAGTCGTTCTTCATTTTTTATTTTCGTTTTTTCCTCTCTCTAGTAGAGTGAGAAATAGACATTAATGAGTTTTATTATACTGAAAATAATCTCTTGATAAAACTACCAAATGTATTTTCAAAAATAATATATGTCTGAAATTAAAAACGTTTTCATTTTTATTTTCATATAAAAAATAAAATTATTTTAAAACGAATTCTAAACGCGTCTATTGTTTGTCTGGCCAGGAAATCTCATATATATTCAGGAGAAAAGGCGACATAATACCCTTCTAGCAATAAATTGAAGAATGGTGCTTAAGTAGGTGGAACGACGAGAAATTAAGTAGCATTTATAAAAGTGAAGAAACTCGTTGATTTAAAATAAGAGTAAATTGCACCGTGCACCTTAAATTATTTGGTTTTTACATAATGCACCCCAAACTATTAAATTTAACAAAATGTATTATGAACTTTAGAATTAATTACAATTGAGGTCCAATAGTTAACGAATGTCATCAAATTAACGGTTAAACACATGATATTCACACATGAAAGATGAGGATCGTCATTTTTTAAACTATATCACGTGTAAATCTTGTGTATCGAATAATCAATTTGATAACGCAATCTGTTATTGGACCTCAATTGCAATTGATTCTAAAGTTCACGGTGCAATTTGCCAAAATCAAAAGTTTGGGATATATTAAAAACCAAATAATTTAGGGTGCACCGTTGCAATTAATTATTAAAATAACTCTACCATTTAAGACCTTTTTTTCCATTGTAAATAATACTAATTGTATATTTACCATCAAAAAGTGTGATATGGTATATATGCTATTTTTATTTTTGCTCAAATGCATAATATTATTTGAAATGTTAAATTTATTTTTTTCTATAATTATTAGGCTTTGAAAGTTGTTAAAGTAATCTTTTATTTTTAAAATAATTAGAAAATGCAAATGTTGCATTGATCACATAGAAAAAGTAAACATTTCAACCAATGATAATCAAATGTTAAATTTTTCATATGTTATACTTGGTGAGAAATTTACCCCACAAAATATAGCGGATGAAAAATTTGACATAACAAATAGCATTGCATTAAAGAATGTTTTTTGTATTCAAATATTAAATTTACAATTAGCACATTAATTATAGTATTACATTAGATGTTCTAACAAGTTAGCTTATTGATTAATTATATTTCATTGATAAGTGATAAAACAAAGTGTTATTTTGTGGGTAGCTAATAAACGACACGACAGAGATTTCATATACCTGTGAAAAAATGATCAAGAAAATGACGGTAAGAGAATAAACAGGAAGAGTACTCAAAATGGTCTGCACATATAACTGGGGGAAAGACGGAAAGCATTTGATAGACATTTGTAGTCGGTAGAGATATTTCAGGAGGATAACGACATGTAGTTTTTCAATGTAAAAGTTCACTGTCATTTAAATGGAAAATGTGTTTGTTGCTTGTGCAACTATGAGAACTATATGGTAGATCCTGTTTTATTTTACCGATTCAAATTTAGAATTCGAGTTTTGTTACAGTAAAAAACTCTCAGAAATAGTAATATCTAACTTTTTTACCATAGTAAAAAGTTCTCACATAAAGTCACATCTCAACTCGAATTAAAAACTCGAATCAACGAACTAAACATACATGTCTATCATGTGGATGTGTATATGCATGCTTGCGTGTATGTAGTTTGTCTCATAAAACCTCATAATTATATTTCATGTTTTCCTTCCAGGATTCGTTGCCTACTTAAGAAACAATTGTCGACTTCACCTTAAACGATGTGTTGTTTATTGATGGAGTGTCATTTTGATCCTTTTTCATAATATTATGTCACTTATATGTAAATTTAATGTTGTTTACTCATTACTACCACAAGTGCCTCTTAACAAGCTTTGGATTCTCAATATTGATGACATGTTGTATTATTATTATTATTATTATTATTATTATTATTATTATTTTACATAGTTATGAATCTATAACGTATAAGTAGTGCTGATACTGTCAAATAATAAAGAATGGATCTCGTAGCGTATAACCAATACGTGAGAGTATAATGATTAGTATTAGTAGTGTCTTGATAATTTTTTCCCGTCGTTTTTGGTTTCGTTTTAAGTTACCCATATGGACGTGTTTAAATTAACGAGATCTACTACAATGTCAGTTTTCTATAAAGCATGTTCTCTTGTATCAGTGTACGTACATGCGTAGAACGTCAGGTCGTAGTGTTGTTCAAATGAAACATGCTAAAAACGACATTTCGGTTATTTTTTTCTTTTTCTTTTGTTGAAAACATTACCGCTCAATTTTTTATTTTTATTTTTATTTTTTTGGCTAAGAAAGCTCAAAGTTTAGGTGCATTATTTTCATGTCAGGACTTTTTGTCATGTAGAACGACATGTAGCTTCTCCTCCGAAAATACTATGCTGATTAATTTAAACGACATGCCTGTTTTCAGAGTACGATTTCAAAGTAAATGTGTATTTCTCCGTTCATTTCACTGATTCGAATTTAAAATTTGAGTTTTATTATAATAAAAAGCTCTTAAAAACAGTCACATCTAACTTTTTTACTACAGTAAAAAGCTCTCATACAACATCACATCTCAACTCAAATTAAAAACTCAAATTAGCGAACCGAACGGGAATACACTTTAAATTCTATACTTTTATACTAGATGTGCACCTTTTGTTGTTTATTTGCAGTTTAAATTGTAAAGTACCTATTTTGTCGTTTCCTTTCAAGATGTTGTCGTCCCGTGAACGACTCGTCATTATTTTATAATAATGATGTTGTTTCATAGTTGGATATCCTTTTTTGCTATGAAAATAGTTGGATGTCGTTTAATTGGGTTACGAGTCTCGACTGTAGAGGACATGTTATTTTTATTTTTGACTTTTGTGCGACGTGTCGCCAGGCTAATATCAACGAGAGTAAACGACAAAATGTTCAATGCTTCAGACTTAAACTACATGTAGTTTATGGGAAGAATGAATATTTATGGCTTGTTCATTTAACAATTCATGTTACAATTTAAGTTTTATAATTACAGTATTTTTTTCATAAAAATTTAAACTTTTATAGTTACAATGTTTTTCTTACAAAAATTTAAATATTTTTGTTATAGTATTTTTCTCTCACATGAGCTATAACTTGAGTTGCAAATAACTCATCTGATTTAAACACATGAATGAAAAGGGCCTTTAAAAACGTTTCAGTTAAACGGCAACAAAGTCTAAACACTATACGACGTACGATTTTTGTATGAGGCACCTTTCCTCCAAAAGAGAAAAAGGGAAATATAACAAATAACTGAAGTAATACAATTATTTGATTTTCAATGAAAATTTTATTTTCTTAAAAGAATTTAGAACAATTTTATAAAACCATTTTCAATGCAAATATCAATATCATTTCTAAATTTTGTAATTTAAAAATATAAAAATAGTATATTTGATGTGCTATTGCTATTTCAAATGTTATATATACTTTTTAATATAATTATTAAATTTTAAAAGCGTAAACTCTAAATCCTTCCCAAAAAAAACAAGTGTACTTTAAATATTAAAATAATGTTTTAAGAGAATATTAAAATATTTTGAAAATAATAATGTTGTAGTGATTAAAAGAAAGAGTTAATACATTTAAAAAATGACTTTATCACTATTTGACGTTTATCATATTCAACATAAAAATTAGTATTACATTAGCTCAAATGTCAGAATATGTCATTGACACATCAATTTAATGTTACATATAAATTTTAATGCTTTAATATCCTGCTTGTTTCGCTCGTTCAAGTTAAAATTTAAATTAAAAAGTGAATTTATGTCAAAAAAGTATTATAACGAAAAAAATTAAATTTGAATTTTTATAACAAAAAATACTATAATAAAAATTTGAGGTGTAATTCGAACAAACATATGTACGTATATAACACATATAGATGTAAAAAATATATTGAAATGTGACTATTTTTTTGAATATATATGGTAATTACATGTATAAATAGATCGCTTTGAAATTAATGTAGAGTAGAAATTTAGGATACTGTCACTAATAGTTATGTTATCTGATTAAAAGCAAAAACAAATATCGTTGTAGTAAATGATTTTTTGTTCCCCTCTCTTTCTCTCTCAAAAAAAGAAAAGTTTTCATTAATTTCTTTTGGTGGAAAACGCTGCGTAGTGAAGCTCGAAACTCGAAAGTTTACTATTCCCCTCAAAACGACACCGTATCGAGACGCACACAAAATCATTTTCAGTACTTCCATAGTGCCGCTTCCATGGCGTTTTCTACTTTGTCGTCTGGAGTCTGCTCTGAACTTCAGAAAGCTTCAAGCTTTGGCTTCGCTAAACGATGGGGAAGAAAACGAAGAAGCCCGGGAAAGGAAAAGAGAAAACCGAGAAGAAAACCGTGAAAGCAGAGGAAAAGAGAGTTCGTCGAGAGACCAAAAAGCTCTCTCCTGAAGACGACATTGATGCCATTCTGGTAAATAAATTCATTCTCTTCTGTAATATTATTCACATTTTTGCTTTTGGGAGTAATGGGTATTCGATGTACAATCAAATTATGTTCCTTTGGCTTGAAAATTTCGATCATCAAAACAAGTTGCGCCTTTGTGGAAATTTGAACCAGTTATTGTGGCGTGTGATGTTTACAGAGTTTTTGGATCCTTTTTTTTTGACACAATAAAGTTTCGTTTTATATTTTATCTTAAGCGTAATGGGCATTTGATGAACAATCAAATTGTGTTCCTTTAGCTTGAAAATTTTGATCATAAAAAAAAGGTTGTGCCTTTGTGGAAATTTGTACTAGTTGTTGTGGATGTGATAAAGTGACAAAGTTTAGTTTTTGATTGGATTTTCGTCATTCCGTTGGTGACAGGGAAGATAATGGTGGTGGTTTTGTTAAATTTTGGAAGTTTTTGACATTCTTGTGGTGTTAAACAGTTGAGTATACAAAAGGAGGAAGCCAAGAAGAAGGAAGTCCACATTGAAGATAATGTCCCAGCTCCATCTCCAAGATCAAACTGTACGGTAAGTGTTTTTATTTATTTATTTATTTTTGTTAAAACTTATAATTTAAGAGGATGTTCAGGTTTTTATTTATTTATTTATTTTTAATGTCTGTGCTGATTGTGTAGCTGAACGTTAACCCATTGAAAGAAACTGAATTGATCCTCTATGGAGGCGAATTCTACAATGGTAACAAGGTTAGTTCTAGAAATTCTTTAATCTTTACATGTCTGTATGATCTGATATAAATAAGCTTACTTTTCTGTTGTTGCTTATCTTTGGCGCATCAATTTGTATCGCTGCAGACATTTGTCTACGGTGATCTTTACCGGTATGACATCGAAAAGCAGGAATGGAAGTTAATTTCAAGTCCCAATAGTCCGCCGCCTCGAAGTGCCCACCAAGCAGTTGCTTGGAAGAATTATCTTTATATCTTTGGTAGACTGAAAAAACTTTTGAATGACATAAACATGAGAGTATGTGCAAATATGATTTTGCATAAATAACGCGATTGCATTTGTTTGACATTAGGTGGCGAGTTCACGTCTCCAAATCAAGAGAGGTTCCATCACTACAAGGTGAGTCCTGTTGTACACTTACCTTTTTGTAGATTTGTTTGGGTTGTTAAACCTAGGTATCAGCAAGTTTTAAGGATTACAAGCTGCCTTGAGTTTTGCATTTTCAGGACTTTTGGATGTTAGACTTGAAGACAAATCAATGGGAACAACTCAATTTGAAAGGGTGTCCAAGTCCACGGTCAGGTCATCGAATGGTAAATCTGAGTTTTTGGAATCTATGTGTTTGATTCTCGTTTCCATTAGAAAGAATTGTGATTGCATTTCCAATGTTATAGTCTTTATACTCACGACTGGGACATGCCATTCTTACTTATTATGCTCAAATGAATTTGAAAAGTTACTATGTCTATTTATATAAATTACATTATCTTTATTGTATTTACATTCCAAGTTGCCATGAATTATTTCTTTGTTCTAGTATGTGACATTTTCACATTGTTGTATAAATCAGTCCATTCTTCATCCAATTACTGTTTTTTTAAGATGAATTTTTGTGTTTATTTTTTGTTTCTCTTCCAGGTACTATACAAGCACAAGCTGATTGTTTTTGGTGGCTTCTATGACACTCTTAGAGAAGTGAGGTTGTTGACGGATTCTTCACATTTCGAAAGTTTTATTGTTAGTTTATGATTTAGAATTCATAGTGTATGCCATCTTACGTACTTAGCATTCTCATCCAAACAATTTGGTGGACGTTAATCATAATTGATCCTCTTCCTATCTTTTTATTTTGGAGAAAACACTTGTAAATAACTTTTTTGTCCTAAAATGATTTTGCATTCGGCTCATATATGTGGTGGGAAACACATATATATTGCTTAAAACATTCACTTTTGATTTTTATTTTTCTTTAAAATAATTTTGAGGGCTTTTGTAATAATTACTCAGTCCATGGTAACAATATTCTTCTCTGCTGTTTAGGGGGTTTATGGAACTTTGTCCTTTATTTATGCAGGTATTACAATGATTTGTATGTTTTTGACTTGGATCAATTCAAGGTAAATATAGATTGGTCCTTTGCATTAAGCCGGTATCGTTATTGGTTGAATGTGTTATTTAACAAAAAAAATTTGGCGTGTTGCAATTTTCAGTGGCAAGAAATAAAGCCTAGGCCTGGATCCATGTGGCCAAGTGCCAGAAGTGGTTTTCAGTTTTTTGTTTACCAGGATGAGGTGAGCAAATGAAAGATACCCTTTTTTTAGAAAGGCAGTTTAATGCTCCAAGTCTTTTTTGTTGTAAGGTTTCTAAATTTGTTTGACCTCCTTGGACATGGCAGATTTTCTTATACGGTGGCTACTCCAAAGAAATTTCACCCGATAAGAGTGGCTCCGAGAAAGGAAATGTTCATTCTGACATGTGGTCCCTTGATCCTAAAACTTGGGAATGGAACAAGGTTCTTGCTTTTCCATAATGCAATACCTTACTATTCATACAATCCAAAGCGTCTTTCTGATTTTGTTCTAAAAACAAAATCTTTCATATGTGGGGTTGTTCACAAATGCTAATTACCTTGGAATAGGTAAAGAAAAGTGGGATGCCTCCAGGGCCTCGTGCTGGGTTCTCCGTGTGTGTTCATAAGAGGCGCGCTTTGCTGTTTGGAGGGGTGGTGGATATGGAAGTTGAAGGTTAGTTTTTAACAATTTCTGTGTCATGACTTCTATTTTATCTGTTTATTTTATTTTGCTTTCCACAGGGAGGTAGTGTTTCCAAAATAAATCCTGTGTATCCTATTTTTATAACGTCTTTATTTATGTGACACATGCATCTATGCGGCAAGTTGACTAAGTCCGTGCTTTTTGTCAATATGTTTTTCCATAATTATTTCTTGTTTCTTGCATGCAGGTGATGTGATGATGAGCTTGTTCTTGGATGAACTTTATGGCTTCCAATTTGACAGCCGTCGCTGGTATCCATTGGAGCTGCGGAAGGAGAAAACAACGAAGAAGGTTTAACCATGTCAAATTTTAATATGGATAACCTATGATTTTTATATACGTTATATTGTTTAGCTTAGGTTTTTACATTTTTTGAAAAGATAATAGGGATTAATTTGTCAAGATTCTCTTGTTCAGATTATTACTGGCTTCATTGTTGTTTATATTGCACAGTTAAAAAAGAGTTCTGAACAAAAGGGTAATGGTGATAATAAGACAAATTCTACGGAAGTAGAGGAGCTTGCAACAAACGACAAAGATGAGAAATCAGAGTACGATGAAGAAGCGGATGACATGGAAAGTGACATTGATGAAATGTCACAGCATATGACAACAAGCATGACTGTTGACGATGGTGGATTAGCTGCTAAATCGAATGGAAAGATTCCAGAATCTACTGCTAAATTGGATTTACCAAATTCTGGTTTACCAGAGGTTTGTCTTGCTGGATGGCCTTTTCTCATCATCAATTTAGCTTTATTTTTAAGTTGATTTCTCGATTTGTTATGAACTCTTTTAATTTTAATTTTATTTTTTATTAGATAGTGAAGCCCTGTGGACGAATCAATTCCTGCATGGTCGTGGGGCGAGATACACTATACGTATATGGCGGTATGATGGAGGTTAAAGATCAAGAAATTACACTAGATGATTTGTATTCGCTTAATCTTAGCAAACTTGACGAATGGAAGTGCATCATACCGGTTTGTAACAGTCTCTTTTCTACATAAAAATGTTCATAACATCTTTGTTTGTCATGGTTCTGACGATGGTGAAACTATGTGTTGAATTGTGAATGTTAATTTTCTGACTTCCTCATGAAAAGATAAAAAAGGACAATTTAACTTACAATTAAGTCGCTTTGATTTTTTAACCTGTCTATGCTATTGGCACCAATGTCTTCACTCCCGATAAACTTCGGAACCCATCCTGTCTTTATTTTTAGATTTTTTTCTCTTTTCTTTTTTTTTTTGACAAATTGGATGCCTGATGAATTGGCCATTTATATGATTTGTTGTATGTCATTTGCTTCTGCCTGACTGCATGTGTGATGCAGGCGTCCAAATCTGAATGGGTAGAAGCCTCCGGGGATGAAGATGAGGATGAAGATGATGGGGAAGATGAAGGTGAAGATGGTAGTGATAGCAACAGCGATGAGAGTGATGATGATGATGAGCCAGAGGTGCCTTTCCGTACTTTCCCAATTTTTCTTGTGCTTTACTTCTAACGACTAAAAAGTGTCCTCTTTTGGTGGTTTCACATCATTTTTTTCTGTGGTAGTTTTGCATTTTGAGTCTTATTTGAATTCCATGCCTGCACAGCTAGAAAGATTTTTGCTTGTTACATACAAGGGAAATGATTAAACCGTCTTTTTATTTAATTGCTACTTTTCCGTGTGTATAGAGTAGCAAAGATGGATCAGTACATTTGGGTGATGCTGTTGCTTTAATCAAGGGTGAGGGAAAGAATCTTCGAAGGAAGGAGAAACGGGCAAGGATAGAGCAAATAAGAGCCAGTCTCGGCCTTTCAGATTCACAAAGAACTCCAATGGTGTTTCCCTGTCATTTTGACTCTTGCTTATTTTGCGTATATAACCAGTCTTTCTGTAGCCTCCCTGGGCCAAATTTAAAGCTCCTAGTTTGATTTTTCATTCTATCACCACGTTGACTGATGTTCACTTTTATGTTTTATGTGAAGCCTGGAGAGTCATTGCGAGATTTCTACCGGCGTACGAATTTATACTGGCAAATGGCTGCACATGAACACACTCAACACACTGGAAAGGTGTGAAGCATCATCCTTTAACATCCAATATATTTATGTTCAGGACCTTTTTTACACCCTTCAATTCAATTAATTTTATTGATCTGCTAAATTTTCTCTCTGCTGCCTTTTGAATTTCTAACACGATCTTTTCGGGCATGTTTGAATTGAAGATAGTGCAGAAAGGAACAACACGGCTTTCTACTCATGTTTCTTGTTTGATGTACTTTCTGTTTTTCACGTGCATCACATAATGTTGCCTTGGTTTCGTTTGCAGGAGCTTCGGAAAGACGGTTTTGATCTCGCTGAAGCTCGATACACAGAGCTTAAACCTATTCTGGACGAGGTAATTCTTTGGCTGTACAAAGGTTCTTAAAACCCAACGGGCTTTTCGGTTTGTGATCTGATTTATGTATTTGTTGTAACTACCAGTTTTTGAACTGAAATTCTGGAATCAGTGTCTGAATCTGTCTTAGAAATGTGTTTGGTTTGCCATATCCGATTGATGTTTTGTAAATTTTGTTTACGGTGCAGCTGGCCATATTGGAGGCAGAGCAGAAGGCCGAAGAAGCGGAAGCGCCCGAAACTAGTTCTAGAAAGAGAGGCAAGAGGAAAACTACGCATTAAAGTCTCCATATAGGTTTTTTGCCCCGGTACTGCCATCAAGTAGTGTAGATTTAGTCTAGTCATTTTTGACTTGTTGCAAATTTACAGTTAAGTTAATTCATGTGACAATTGACAAATACATATATGCTTTCTCTCTTTCATAGTGCCCCGCACAGTTATTTTTTTAAGGTAATTCCCAGATAATTTGTTTTATAGCTGCAGAACCCGCCACCATTTTAGGTGGTTTGTTTTACCTTCATGTTCTGTGTTTAAGAGTGATAAAAAGGAGTAGATTAATGTTAATATCCTTCTATTCATAATCATATATCTCTCTCTTTTCTGCCTCTCTATTCCTCCACCTAAATTATTCACCCTTTCCTTTCCTTTTTTCCCTTGTACCAAACACAGCCTTATAGTACATGCAATATATACGTTTCTCTTATTGTGTTTGGTATGAATTTCTCGTCTAATCCTTACAATTTTGGGTGGATCAAAATTGGAGTCTTGCGGAAAATTTTAAATCCCTCTTCTTATCCCCTATGCCAAAACAACTACAAGTTTTAAAAACCATTCACTAATCCTCCCATCCATTCCTTCCATTTTTCTCGCTTACCAAACGAGGCTTTAAGAGAATGAGGAAGGAATGAGAGGAATATCTAAATAATTGGAATAATACGCCAAATATATATATATATATATGTATTGATTAAAAAAACATTAAAAAAACAAAAAAAATAGGTAATGAACAGAATATGGTAACACTCTTACATGGCAAAAGAATAGAAGTTGAAGAAATATGAGTACAGCTTGATATTCACGTAAAACCCACCTTTCTTTGCATGGAAATGGAGCTCCATTGGGAGCTTCTCTTCATCTACTTTGCAAGTATTATCTGCAAATATTTTCAATTTTGCCTCGTTTCTTCATAACTGCGTGTTTGTATGATTTTCTCACAAGCAACTTCGCAGCAAGACGTATGTAGCAGCAAGGAAGAGCAGCAAAAACCCATGATAGAACGCGTAAAGAAAAGAGGTAGGAGATAGTGCAAGAAAATATATGAGCAAAATCAGAAACAGATTGCACTTCAAGTTATTACAAGCCATACATTTAACTTCGAAATGAAACTTTAAAAAGGTTAAAGGAATGACCAAACAATACAGTTCAGAGAATGTTTGATTGTGAAATCTAAAGCTTGTACATGGTCTTCAGATGCTAGACTTCTTATAAGTTCTTCGCTGACTTTCTGAAGCAAATTGCTTGGTACAAATTATCCAAAAAAAAGAAAAGAGAATATATATATATATTGATAGGGATAGCACATTTTATTATGTCTTGGACAAGAACAATTCTCTGATGCTAATTGGAGGAAGTGCAATTCTGATGAAGTAATAATCCTTTTGTTTAAGGTTGGTTGCCGATTGATTAGCAAAAAAAAAAAAAAAGAGGGTTGGTTGCCAATTTGCCATTGGGTCAACTACTAGTGTGAAGCATAAAGAAGTGTGTAACAAATCAAGTAGGAAAACAAGTAGGAGATTTTAAAAAAAAAAAAAAAAAAAAAAAAAAAAAATCAAGTAGGATATGTGGATATTAAACTAACGGCAATTCGGTTATTATATTAGGCGGTCAAAATATGAAAAACGAATAAAGTAGCAGAAATCTTAACCCATATGGAGTTTGTCGCATTCCATTCCACCTAATTTTCTGTTAAGAAAATTCGGGGTCAAGTGTGTGTAAAAATAGAATAAGTAGAATTTCTCCTAAAAATAATCCGTTCATTTCACTGATTCGAGTTTAGAATTGAGTTGAGATGTGACTTTATGTGAAAGCTTTTTACTGTAGCAAAAAAGTTAAATGTGATTGTTTGTGAGAACTTTTTACTGTAGAAAAACTCGAATTAGTGAAGTGAACGGTGCCGAATTTCTATATTTCGGCTCAATCATATATATATAAGACTAAGCAAAAGAATGATTCCTACATCACCAATCTTCAGTCGAGCTATTAATTCATAAATTCTTGAATATTTCAAGTCTTTTGTCCAAGAGCTTTCATTTCATTCTTTGCACAATTTGAGTTCTTTAATACTTATAAAACTATGTAACTCAAGGAAAAAAAAAAAAAATTAGCACAAACTCAATCAAGTGTTTGTTATTACCAAAACAAAGTTGAGTTGATCCAATGGAACCTTGGGGCCAATAGAGACTTAAATTCAATAGGGAAGTTGAGCCACAACGATTAACTTGTCGCTAGTGATTAGAGCCGCCATGGTTAGATATGAATATTATTAGTAAACGTTTGTCTTTTCTATATATATTTATTTCATTTATCCACTTCATTCTTTCTTAGAATAATTAGTCAGAACGCGCGCTTCGCACACGTGACATTCTTTAAAGTGATGGCTAAACAAATAAAAAAAAGGAAGGAAAAAATTAAAGACAAAAACATAAAAAAAAAAAGTAAAAGGTAAGAAAAAAGGAAAAAAAAAAAAGGGAAAAAAACCTGAAAAAATAATTAAAAAAAACTATGCGAAACGTTTTGCACATGATTTGTGAGATGGTTTCGATGTTTTCACATATAACTGAAATTCAGATTTAGTTATATGGTATAGGTATAGATTAAAGCCTTCGATTAATTTAGATTAAATACTAAAGATGAAGTTACAGGACCAAAAAAGTTAAAAAGGAGATGATTATTAGAGCTATTTATTCACATTAAAGTTGTTTATTTTCTTTTATTCAGTAAGGGTATTGTAAAGCCTCCGTGTTAGTTTATTTATCATTGTATGTTTTTCTTCAATTGCAATAACAAGAAACCTTAAACTCTCTTTTCCTTCTCCTCTATTTTGCATTGGGTAGTCTCGTAGTTGCTATAAAGAAGAGAAAACAAAAAATTATAGTTACATATAAAACCATATGAAATTAAACAAACAAATTTTCAATTTACACGCAAATATAGTCCCATGTGACGGAATTATTTGTAAGTGATTTAATTGAAAAGGAAACACAAAAGGTGAGACCTGAGTACATCCCAACTAAGTTGGTATCTGTCCAAGTCTAACCTTAACAAATTATTGACCAACAAAATATGTGTAGAATACAAACACTTGTGTGGACAACATAAGACTTAATTTATGATTCAAGAACCTAAAGGTGGAGGGAGGTGTGAAGAGGGAGGGGACGGATTCTTGTCTAAATCCTTGGAGGTGAAAATATCGGCTGTGTTTGGAATTGATCCCGTTTTTATTTTTCACATTTTTTGAGAAAGAAAAAATGAAAACGTTTTCAAAACGGCGTTTGGTGCAATAAAGACAAAAAGCAGAAATGAAAACGATTTTTTGGAGAGAAAGAAAGACATTAATGGGTTTTTTTACACTGAAAATAATCTCTTGATAAAACTACCAAACACATTTTCAAAAATGATTTCTGTCTGAGATTGAAAACGTTTTCATTTTCATTTTCATACAAAAAATAAAATCATTTTGGAATGAGTTCCAAACGCGCCATCGTCGCTGAAAGCGGAGGCAATGATACTCTTGGGAAGATGGAAATGTGGGTTGTAGTAAAGGCGGGATGGTCGGTAGAGGCACCGAGTTGGTCGGAGGGGCGTGCGATAGATGGTATGGTTGGCAGCTGCACCGGCGGAAAACTTGGCATTGGCAAGTTGGGTGGAAATATTGTTTGCAAAAGATGACGAGCGGCTAAGCTAAAATCCATGCTAGAAAAGGTAAAAGCGGTAAAGAATGCTAAGATATAGAAGCAATTGCTAGAGGCCATTGAAAACTGAAGGAAAAGAATATTTTCTCACTTTGGTTTGTATGAATTCACATGGAATGGAACGATCACATATGTAGTTGTAGATGGTCGGTCTTTAAACCATTGAAAGGTTAACAACTCCTTTAATACATGATTATTTTACCTAATAACTTGATATGAATTTTCAATAGTAATATTTTTATTTATTTATTAGAATCATGTAATCCATAATTAAATTTGAAGAGCTATAAGGAATAACACACTTTTGTTATTAAGATTTAATATTGCGCGTGTATGATAAACACATCTTGGTTAGTATGAAGAGATGTGATAATTTATATGTTTTATTTGTTCACTTTATTTATTTATTTTATGGAACCAACTCAGAAAATTCGAAAAAAAATACAATATTGTCGAACAAAAAAAGTTATATATATAAATATATATTTTTGTTTTAACAAATTATTAACCTCGTGGTATGATTGTGTCATAAAAAAAAAAATAAAACTTTTGCATACTAAGGATAATATTGAGTAAGAAATAGGATTTAACTGTTTTCTCTTCGTTACTTTATTGCAATTTGTAGTATAAATTTTGAGGGGAAAGACATTCATCCATTTATCAAGAAGCTTTAAATCACGCACATTAAATTTTTTAGGGAAAATACATTCATCCATTTATTTTCTCTTTAAAGTGTCATTTTGAAAAAATAAATAAATACGTAAGAGAGTGATGTTAGCACTTCTCTTTAATTTGTTTCAATTAAATCGACCATCTACAACGTTTTTTTTTTTTTACAACCAATGCCAAGAAAATGATTTTTGATCCTCTTTTGTTGATGACTAATAATTGTCTGTTGGGACTTTGGACTCAGTTTAAAGGATATATTGCAGCGTTTGTTGAACACAAATTCATCGTAATCTTTCTTTAAATAGTTGTTGTACACCTTTGAGAGCATCATACGCAAATATGGGATCTGGTAATGGAGAACTTTCATGATTAATTTAATTAATATTACAACAGACAAATGAATTTTTATTTATTATTATTTTCTTTTGCATCACATCTATATATACCTGTTCTTGGACCAAAAACTTTCGTTTGATATACGAAACTATAAACAAGCCAAAAAAAAAAAAAAAATTGAAGTGCCAACGTATATTGGAATTATATATAGAATTAAATATTTAAATATAATAATGTCTCAAAATCTGTTTATTTGTAAATGATTCATCAGGAATATTAGTGTTATTTTTTTTTTGTCATTCTTTTTATCACTTTCTTCATTCACTATCTGATACGTGAATTCCATTAACATAATACGTGTGTCACGTAGAATAAACATGATAAAAGTCAATGAAAGAGGTCAAATCTTGAAATTGGATGCGTGCCACGTGGTATAAACATATTTTACCTGAGTCAAGTACCCAGATAAACAATTAGTTCATTACATAAGGGTCTTGGAAAAGCAGTAA